AACCAATTATATTTTCTGTAGTGACTAAACTCTATGTTCTATAGTGATTTAACTCTCCTTTTTGTACTGAATCAGGTGCTCTATGGTGATTAAACTGTTATATAGTGACAAAACTCTATGATGACTAAAGTCTATAATTCTGTAGTAACTAAACTCTATGTTCTATAGTGATTTAACTCTCCTTTTTGTACTGAATCAGGTGCTCTATGGTGATTAAACTGTTATATAGTGACAAAACTCTATGATGACTAAAGTCTATAATTCTGTAGTAACTAAACTCTATGTTCTATAGTGATTTAACTCTCCTTTTTGTACTGAATAAGGTGCTCTATGGTGATTAAACTGTTATATAGTGACAAAACTCTATGATGACTAAAGTCTATATTCTGTAGTGACTAAACACACTGTTATGAAATGACTAAGCAGACTGTTATGCAGTGACTAAGTTAGTCTACAGATTATCCTTATTGCACATCGAACCATTAGTCCACAAGTGCTCGGATCCCTTCCACAATAAATCCCGCAGCGTGTAGCGGCTAACGACACCAGTTCTGTGTTGGTTTATTTTTCTTCTTTGACTACCCGCAAAGTGTTCTTGTTTGGCGACACCCCGTTTAACATGTTCTTGCAGTCTGACCATGGTTGCAGATTCACAGTTGTCAGTTGGTTCACGTAAACGTTTGACTCTCTTAGAGCATTCAGTATATCAGCCTGGTCCATAGCTTGTCAGGCTTTCCCAGTAGCCTTACCTGCAATCATATCAGCTTGCTCATTTCCTTGTACCCCAACATATCCAGGCACGAAAATGAAACTAATCCTTGTCAGCCCTGAATTCTGTAGAGCCACCAACAACTGCCTTTGGACCCAGCCCTTCTTTATCTTCCTGTTTCTGAGCATACTCATCAAGTCACTAACAAAGCATGCCCCAGTTTAAGTCTGTGTCTCTAGCTGTCAGCGACCTAATTTACTATAATCATTTTATATGGCTTGCTATGTAGGCCAGCTTACATACTTTACTACCCTGGACACACTTAAGACACGCGCCTGCTGAGTACAAACATAATCTTTAATGTACAATGAACAAAACGACTATAGACACCTCAACTAAGTAGGCAGTTCTCATCCGAAACGATGATGTTGAGCAGCTTTTTCATTCATTGGTTAACCCAAGTCGTTCCCATGGATTATTAAAAACACGACTCCTTACTAACAGTTTATCAGTGCTAACTAAGCCGCCGTCTATTGCCACACGGGACTCAGCAATACACGTAAGGTGTATGGTCTAAGCGTGACTGGGCGATTACCAATGTGCATCACACCTTTACTAACTGCTCAAACAAATACTGCATGGAATGTCTACTATACAAGGAACATTAACTCTACACTATCTAGTTGAAACATTAAATGGAAACACAGCCTAACAAAGATACTAAACACAAAAATCCTATTTAACTAACCGTCACTAACCTAATGTATTTTTACCTAGTCAAAGCGCTACGTCTTGTCTCGTCCAGTCCCACTACACAACTCTCCCCGTCCGGTCTCTCCCAGTTCTTTTTTTTGGGGCCTGCGTTCACCACTCGGTAATCCGTGTCAACTGTGTGAACTGGGCTTGGCCCGTTAACTCGACCCAGTTTATTCCGTGGTCAAGCTGCCCGTTCTCATACTGAGTTTTACTGAAGGTCAACTCGTTCATACGTGATGATTCACTATCATCACCTCCGTTCGTCCCATAGCCGAACTGGCCTCTGACACTAGCCATGTTACTGCTTTAGTCACAGCCATGACCTCCATAGTCAGACTACGTGTAGTTACTGCAAAAGCTCCAGAATATTCCTTCACAACTCTCCCTCCAAACTGAGCTGTGAAAGCCCACGAGCTTCTAACGTGGCAGATTACAGAAAGTGACATGCAGTGACTAAACACAGTTTTGTAGTGACTAAACACACTGTTATGTAGCGACTAAACACACTGTTGTGTAGTGACTAAACAATTATAAGACAAAAGAAGACAGAATCATCAACCACGCAATGAAATGGGAAACAAATGGACTCAGCAAATGGGGATGTCCAAGATAACCCTAATACAAACATTCATAAGAGAGGCCAAAGATGCTCTACTGAATTCTATTCATAGTACTTCTTTGCATTCACCGGATGTAAACTCTGATAGAAAGTTCTTCTTGTTCTTCTTCCACATCTGCATTTAAGGCTTGTTGCAGGGCTTCAGGATGACATGCACATCCATTTTACAGATCAGGCAGACTGTTTGATGCTTCCTCACCTCTCAGGCAGATGTAATCCAACATCCAAGTAAACATCTCCTAACTAGTTGGCTTTGATGACATGCTTGTTAAGGGGGCAGTGTGTGAAATCCTTTTTCCTGCCAAAAAAATCGGGTCTTGGATCCCACAGGGGGAATCTATGACGCTGCAAAGATTGAATGGTATAATGCTGGGACAGGCTGTCAGCTCTGTGTGACATATTAAAGGTACAACCAAATGATGATGATGGTGATAATTAACCCAATAAAGTTGAAACTCACTGAATATTAAATACTTCCACAATAATTTTCATAAAACATAAACTGTGTCTACTAAAGAGAACAAGTGTAAAACCTCACTTAAATTACCAGACTTAGATATGTACATGCAACAGTCAGGTTCTGCACAAAGGCTAAAGTCTAGAGGCGGATGAACAACCATAATTTTCAGCCGCAGTTTACAGCCAGTAAAGTGAAGGAGAAGTATGTACATAAACATTCTTATAAAATTCTTATAACAAAAACAAAGACATGACAATATTATAACAAAGACATGAAATTTCTACAATGACAAAACTGCTCATTTTACATTAATATAAGTAAATAAAATTTTTCCAATTGTAAAGCTTATACAGTAAATTTTAACGGACAATGTTTAATGCCATTTTAACTGTATGTGAACAGTTGAGGAATTGTTTATGCTTTAGACATACTGAAACTTCTGCTTTGATAACAGAAAGTCCCTAAAGTCTGGACACAGAGGAAAAATACATTTTCAAGACGAAAAATACACATTTTCAAGACATGACATTTCTCAAAATTTTATTCCACTGAAATAATCTTCTAGTTCTGCATTTATCCGATGATGTAATTTGTGTTGTGCCACTTTACAGCACAGCTGTTATATTTGCACCTTTCGGCCAACATGTCTGATTTCTGCAGGCATTTTTTGACAAGGTCAGCATTCCCAGGATTGAAACATTAAACAGTAACATCTTTAATATGATTTCCACAATCTACAATACAAAGATTGATGTGCTTTACAAAAATTATGTGAATTTGATGTGATCAATTCACACTGCGATCAAGTTTAGTAAATGCACTGTTTATTTCCTAGACATCCAGACTTTAACATCAACAGGCAAACAACTGGTGAAGTGGACTGTTTATTTCCTAGATATCCAGACTTTAACATCAACAGGTGAACAACTGGTGAAGTGGACTGTTTATTTCCTAGATATCCAGACTTTAACATCAACAGGCGAACAACTGGTGAAGTGGACTGTTTATTTCCTAGATATCCAGACTTTAACATCAACAGGCAAACAACTGGTGAAACAACTCGTTTCTTGGTCACTCTCAAGACAATGATATTCTTACTGTCTTACACTATATCAGGCCAGTTATCTTTACTCCTAAGAACATTTTATGGTCCCAATTTTTGCTTGGCTCAAGCTAATAGCCCAAGGTCATTATTCTGAAACTCCCTGACTCAATGGGTATTTAATTCTTTCAGTTCTATACAGCTGTTTTACGAACCAACTCTCTTTTAGTGAATAACTCATTCCCGACCAGGACAGCTGTTTTACGAACCAACTCTCTTTTAGTGAATAACTCATTCCCGACCAGGACAGCTGTTTTACAAACCAACTCTCTTTTAGTGAATAACTCATTCCCGACCAGGACAGCTGTTTTACAAACCAACTCTCTTTTAGTGAATAACTCATTCCCGACCAGGACAGCTGTTTTACAAACCAACTCTCTTTTAGTGAATAACTCATTCCCGACCAGGACAGCTGTTTTACGAACCAACTCTCTTTTAGTGAATAACTCATTCCCGACCAGGACAGCTGTTTTACAAACCAACTCTCTTTTAGTTTACAAACCAACTCTCTTTTAGTGAATAACTCATTCCCGACCAGGACAGCTGTTTTACAAACCAACTCTCTTTTAGTGAATAACTCATTCCCGACCAGGACAGCTGTTTTACAAACCAACTCTCTTTTAGTGAATAACTCATTCCCGACCAGGACAGCTGTTTTACAAACCAACTCTCTTTTAGTGAATAACTCATTCCCGACCAGGACAGCTGTTTTACGAACCAACTCTCTTTTAGTGAACTCATTCCCGACCAGGACAGCTGTTTTACGAACCAACTCTCTTTTAGTGAATAACTCATTCCCGACCAGGACAGCTGTTTTACGAACCAACTCTCTCTTAGAGATTAACCCATTCCCAGCAAGGACAGCTGTTTTACGAACCAACTCTCTTTTAGTGAATAACTCATTCCCGACCAGGACAGCTGTTTTACGAACCAACTCTCTCTTAGAGATTAACCCATTCCCAGCAAGGACAGCTGTTTTACGAACCAACTCTCTTTTAGTGAATAACTCATTCCCGACCAGGACAGCTGTTTTACGAACCAACTCTCTTAGAGATTAACCCATTCCCAGCAAGGACAGCTATTTTATGAATCAACTCTCTGTTAGTGATTAACCAATCCACAGCAGACAGCTGTTGCTAGCACTCAATCTATCAAAGACAGCTGTTGCATTATTTACCTCTCATCCAGATGTATGTGGCCCTAAAGAAGTGGTCACAGCAGTAGCAGACAGAAAGAATAAGTATATTCTGCAAGGGACAACCAGTGAGCGCACAGTGCACTTCCTGGTATCAAAAGAGTTAAACCATGTTTGTTGTGCTGACAGTAAAAAAAATGTACAGTTCCAGCGAATCACCTAAGACAGTTCTCCTATAGGCGCACTCTCCAGCCACAACTCGTGAATGTAGGTGTACAAATCTGAACTGACTGAGACCTGTAATGACAGAAATGTATTAACACAGTTAAAAAGAAGAGAGAAATGTAAGTTTGTTGTATATTCTTTACAGGAAGTTAATTGCATATTCTTTACATTACAGGGAGTTAGTTGCATATTCTTTACATTACAGGGAGTTAGTTGCATATTCTTTACATTACAGGGAGTTAGTTGCATATTCTTTACATTACAGGGAGTTAGTTGCATATTCTTTACATTACAGGGAGTTAGTTGCATATTCTTTACATTACAGGAAGTTAATTGCATATTCTTTACATTACAGGAAGTTAATTGCATATTCTTTACATTACAGGGAGTTAGTTGCATATTCTTTACATTACAGGAAGTTAATTGCATATTCTTTACATTACAGGAAGTTAATTGCATATTCTTTACATTACAGGAAGTTAATTGCATATTCTTTACATTACAGGGAGTTAGTTGCATATTCTTTACATTACAGGAAGTTAATTGCATATTCTTTACATTACAGGGAGTTAGTTGCATATTCTTTACATTACAGGAAGTTAATTGCATATTCTTTACATTACAGGGAGTTAGTTGCATATTCTTTACCGGAAGTTAGTTGAATATTCTTTCCAGGATGTTGCACTCCCCCCCCCCCCAAGATTTTTTGTTTAGCTGTTTGTGATTTTACTAGGCAATTTTATGTTTACAGTTTGCCATTGCTTTTCTAAAAGTCCTCTCTCGTTAGCATCTTAATAAAATCCAAAGTATGGTGGTCTGCTGCCAAACTGCCTACAGCTTGGATTCAACCTGGCAACTCAGCATTGCCAAGCGCATGTACAATGCCTAAGTCAAACATGCCAACTAAAAAAGAGATGTGACGTGCAATGTGTTATTAATTTATGGCTAATCCTCTTCTATACAAGAGTTTAGTTTTGATTAGGAAGCTTCCCAGTGTGGGTTCCAAGGCTGCATTGTGAGGAATATAAGAACAGACCCACCCCCACCTTCCCAACAAGCAGGTCACAGGAGACGACTAACTGGGAGCTTCCTTCGAAGTCAAGAGTGCATCTGTCCGAGCGGCAAGAAACAACAGAATGCACAAAAATAAGCCATTGAAATGAAAGCACATACACAACTCAGGCCTTGGCACAAAGTCAAAGTTCAGATGAATGAAAAATCAGGTCTACCCCTAGAGCTTACAGCCGGTGAACAAAGAAGAAGGTTAAGAAGTAATTTTTGTATTGAATGTATGTATTTCCTAAACTGCTCTAGAACCAAACAACTCACCACTTGTTTCTTGGTCATTCTCAAGACAATGATATTCTTACTGTCTTCCACTATGGACAGAAGTAAAAAAAAAGTGACCCCTCTTTCATGCATTCAGTTGTACTGGCCACACGGGTGGGTTGGACCCATACTTTACAGACTAATCAACATTCGGTGGGTGAGCGGTCAGCATCACCCTGGTCGCCTTTACTTCCCATGTGATACCTAGTACCCGTTTAATGCTAGATTGACCTGGAAGACAAGGTCATGCAGATCACGGTCTGGGCAGATAAATGCATCAACAACTGTACTACCCTGCCTGTGTACTTAAGTCTGTTTAAAAACAATACACTCATGATTTAGTGGTAACTTCTTTCCTTAGAAATCTACTGATAAATATTTCTAAACTGAAATAAACTTTTATACTCAAAAAGATAAACATTTTTAGACTAAAAAAGATAAAACATTTTTAGACTGAAAGAGATAAACATTCTTAGGCTGAAAGAGTAACGACTATAAACAAAATTGTCTTACAAATAATTTACAAATGAACATAAACTCACTCCATCGTCAGTACCAATGTTCCAAAAGATCTCATCACACATTTTCTTACACATTATGAGCTGTGTAACTACACACCTGAATATAGATTGAATCTCTTTAACAAAATGTTATTTTCTCAGTTTCTCAAGAATATCTTTTTCTTCCAACTGAATACGGAATTCATTTGGAAAAACACGGCCTCCATTACCAAAATTATATCACTCCTGGTGTGTCTAAAAGTGCTTCGTCTCCTTCAGATAATCTCTCTTCTCTTCTTCAGCATTCTGAGCCCCTGAAGTTCATTTCTGCAGATATCATCTACCTCCATTCATCTCTCTGGTTGGCCTTCTCTTTCCAGCTGGTGACACCAAGTGTTTGTAGGTCTGTCTCTCCACTGTCTTCTTGGTCTGCCTCGTGGTCTATGACCATTCAGCTCCCTTTTGTATACAGTTTTTACCTCTATGTCATTTGACATTTTCTCAATATGCCCAAACATTTCAGTCTAACAGATCTCATGATGCGAGTGATCAATGGTGATTTTAAACAGATTATGAATTTCGTTGTTGCTTCTCACTTTCCATTCCCCGCTGTATTCATGTTTGATGGTTCCAAAGATTCGTCGCAATACTCCGTTTACAAAAATGTGTAATGAGGCTAGATCTCTTTTAGTTGTGCTCCAAGTTTCAGAGCCATATAAAATGACTGGTCTTATCAACATTTTATATATTTTGATCTTAGTGCTGTGAGATAAAGACTCTGACTTTAGCAGATGTTAAAGGGCATAATATACTTTATTTCCAGATAATAATTTATTTTCAGATAATCATGATAAATAATCAACAACATGCAAAAGGTCGTTTGTAGAATGGTTTTCATGCTAGAAAGCCACTCAGTCTCTTGCTAACTTGCCCGCCCTCCTCCCTCCGGCCCTATTTCTAAAGGGTGTGGGGGGGGGGGGGGGGGGGTCACTCTACTACTAACAAGCATGTCGTACAAGATGACTAATAAGGGTTTTGCTGAAATCAGATGTGTTGGGCAGAAAGGCATAGATATGACAGCCTAGCTGTAAACCACAACACAAAGGTGCAATCAATATTTTAAGAATGGACACAAAAGAAGGAGCTCTAGGCAAATATAATGAACATAAAGCAAAATGAAAACTACACAAACCATAGAACAATTTACAGTGATGGCTTAGCTAGATATCTGTTTCGCAACAAAAAAATGAAGTTGCTGGCCCCAAGCTTCAACTCCAAACCTGGAGAAGCAAGTTTTTTGTTTTCTGTCTAGAGTAGGCCTTGGAGCAGACCAACAAGACTGGAAAGATATAGAGGCAGACCTACAAACCCTCAGAGTCACCAGCTAATATATAATGAGGAAATAGTAATCCACAAGTAAGGAAACTTTAAAAAAAAAAAAAAAAAAGACAAGTCAGAAACCATAGTTCATAATTCTTAAATGATCTTCTTAGATAATAAACATTACAGAATTATGAACTTGGCGGTTCCAGTAAAAATAAAACTCTTAGTGGCAAATAAATTAATTAATAGTTTATTCAAGATCAGAGGCTTCATTGAATTTAGAAATTATTTTATTAAATGAGTCGCTGGGCATTTTCCAGTATGGATAGAAAAAGCAATGCAAAGTAAAAATTAAAATGAGAATACCGGTGGTAAAGACCTCCCTCAGCAATAGAAAACCATCTTTTAAAATCTGAACTCCCTGTTACCAAGAACAAAGCATTTCAAATCCTTAACATGTCATCTAATGGCAGAACGCTCAGATTTCTTGAAGCCGCACAATTCGTTACCTCCGCCCTGAACTTTGCAAACAGAAAGACACAATTCCAACACTGCGACTGCCCTGGTAAAACCAGTTGCGTTTGACTGTTGTTGAATTTGTACTTCAGTTATAAATGATTTATTTATTTGCTTCATTTTTGTAATTGTTACTGTAGTATGCACCTGACGAAATACAGCAAAATATACCAGGCAATAAATTGTGCAATTTATTGTTTGTGTCTTCTTTGTCAAATTTACAACAGGGAAATTTTGCTTTAATTATTTTCTTGTTTGTTTAAACACTCTAGTTAGGTATGCAGATGGACAGTTAGATAGTTAGCTAACAAATAATCCTCCTTACTCACTGAACCATTCAGCTCACAAGTGTTTGGATCTCCTCTTGAGTATTTTTTCAGCAAACGGCAGAATTCTAAAAGCAGGTAATAATATTGTAATGCTAGAAAATTCAAATAAATACTTACCTTATATGGAGTTGGATTCAGCGCCCTCTTGTGGTCAGGTCTCAGAGTGCTTAAAGATTTCTTTGTTCTTTCTCTCAGTTCTGTCAGGGTTGGTAAATGCTCAATTACCTGCAGAAGGTATGTGGGAAATATAATTAAAAGCATGCTCACCAAAAAGTCAGCATTCGTTTCCAAGTATAAACTATTTTTAGTAAAACCAAATTGTGACTGTTGCTGGTGATGTTTCTGTTTCTGCTGCTGTTGTTACTCTAGAAACACATCAAATTAAGACATTTACATTGTGAAGATTTGAAAAAAAAATTTTGGGGAATCATGATGAGTTGACATTCAAGGTAATAGGTCATGTGTTCGGGAGCTGCAATGGCTCAAGGCATGGTGTCCGCATCGAGTGCTGGAGGTCCTAGGTTCAAACCCCAGCGATTTTTTCAGGTGGACTTCTAGTAGTTTTCTATGGTCTCTAGGTGGTGAGATCGGGTGGCCCATGTGTACTGTTGCGCATGTAATAAATCCCTTGGCAGTTGGAAATTGAAAAAGAATAGCCTGGGCAAAATTTGGAGTTGGAAATCTAACCAAAGTATTTAAGGATCTTCGCTGTTGCTACGGAGTTCATGCACTGTGCTGAGATTCTTCTGACTCAGGCTTGAGTCAGAAGTAGAAAGGAGCACTTGTGGGTTTCTACCTTTGTGCTATGATGTTGATCTGCTGTCTAAAACTAGGCCATGTGAACCTGGGCTTTAAAAATTTCTAACAACTTAAGAATATTCAACTCTTTCAGCATTATATAATTTAAATTTAAAATTTAAATTTAGTTATAAATCAACATATGCTCTTTTTCTTAGTACTAAATAAAGAAACAGTTGAACAGTTTCAACATGTTTAAAAAAACATATTCACTAAAACTAACAGATCAAAGCTCTTACACTCTAGAAAATATTTGTTTTTAAAGTAAAGGACCCTTTTACATGTCTTTCATGCGTATTGGGTATATAGATCTAGACCTAATATTTTATTGACCAAATGGCACTTGGTGGGTGATGTGGTCAGCATCACGCCGGCCACCTTTATTTCTCAGGACTGTACCTGGTACCCATTCAAGGCTGGGCTGACCTGGGATCCAAGGTCATTAAAAAAAAATCCAGCCCTAATCAGGAACCGAACCCACGATCTTCTGATCGGCAGACGAGCGTCTAGCCGCTAGACCATGGCAGCTCCCCCTAGAAACCCTAAAGGATCTGGGTTTTTTTTCACTAGAAGCTTCACATTCTCAGGTTATTCTATTTTAAGACATAAAAAGATGAAAATCACAAACTGATTACAGACTCGAGATATTTAATTGTTACTGGGCATAGTATGGTGGGGAAAAAACTTGACAGATGCAAAACTTGATGGCAAAAGAGCGAAGAGGAGAGATAACTACACACTCAGCATTGCTAAATGGCCTAACTGGGGCCGAGATCAAAAACCTTGTTGAGATTGTGATAGATGATGAGAGACAGTAACAAATGACAGAGCATGCACATCAATATGACATATGATAATGAATTTAGGTGCTTTATTAATATTTTACCCCAAACGGTGGAAATTCACAGGTCACAGGACAGTCTAATATTTCAGGGGGTGGTAGATAGGCTGCATGCAGTCATGGGACCTAGGCTGCTTTCTCTCGTGGGACATAGGTGGGTTGGGGTTAAGGCCAGTTCTAGATGTTTTGGGGTCGTTAAAAGCATAAGTAAGCCAGCCTTACCGCCCTTTTAAATGTTGAATTGTCCAGTGATGTCATCTGGGGTCAGATATTAATAAAGCACCTCAATTTGTATTACCTTTCCTTGTTTCCACCATGTTATATGCAAGGACTTGACAGCTGCAGGTATCACATAAGCTCTTTTAGATTCCTGCATTCAAGAACAAGATGTCATAAGTAAAGCAAGTTCCACCTTTTCACTCTGAAAGCTGCAAACTTGGCACTTCTGGCAGTGTCCAATTTCTGTCAATGCCGCTTTACTGGCACTGAGAGTGGCTTGTTTTAGAGAATAGAGAAGCCTAGCTTTTAGTACTGGTCTCGTCAGCACTTGCACAAATGTTTGGGAAGCCTATATCTATATTCTATGTCCTCTTCATGTCGCTGTTGACACATAAGGCATTCACCAGTGATCTCCACTGCTGCCGGTCTGCTGCTTTTCTGCCCTTGGTATCCCATGTCAGTTTACACTCCCTAATTTTTCGTTCTATTGTCCTTCTCCAGGTTTCCTTAAGGTCGTCCACGTCTCCTTTTCCTATCTGCTGTCCAACAAAGAGCTGTTTTTGCCAGTGTCACAAGGCAAACATGTCCAAGCCATCTCCATCGTCTTACTTTGATAACATTTGCCAGTGATGCACATTCTGTTTTCCTCCTCAGTTCTTCATTTGTTATCTTGTTTGGCCAAAATGTTCGTATAATTCTCCTCAAATATTTATTTTGAAAAGTCTCAAGTTTATGTGTAATTCCCGCGGCCATTTTCCAACATTCACCGTTGTATAATAGTATCCCTAAAATGTTGCTCTTGTATTTTCTGAGTTTTGTCTTAGGAAGACTGGGGAAGATTACATGTACTAAATTTACTACTAGTGTGAAGGGGTGTTTGCTAGTGAAAAATGACTTTTAACTAAAACAGAAATTTCGAGATTATAGTGCTCCAATTGAAGTAGTGGTCACCAGTGACCTGGTCATGGGAACGAACGAACGAAGGAACAAATGAACGGGATGAAGTATGAGCCAGTGTAAAACTTTATTTAACAGCAATAGTGAGTAAGCCAACATGGCCAGAGTTTAACCTTCCGTGTGCAGTGAACTGTTTGTGTTAGCTCGTCAAAGAAAGTTGTCATTTCAAGCTGCCGTTGTGTGAGTGTTCATTCCTGTACTCCTGATAAGGTAAGGTAATATTCAATAGATTGAATAATCACCTAGACTATGTTTATGCCGCCTATAGATTGAATAATCACCTAGACTATGTTTATACCTCCTATAGATTGAATAATCACTTTCACTATGTTTATGCATCTCATTCATTGAATAATCACCTAGACTATGTTTATGCCTCCTATAAATTGAATAATCACCTAGACTATATTTATGCCTCCAATAAATTGAATAATCACCTAGACTATATTTATGCCTCCAATAAATTGAATAATCACCTAGGCTATGTTTATGCCTCAGAATGATTGAATAATCACGTAGACTATGCTTATACCTCTGATAGACTGAATAATCACCTAGACTGTTTATGCCTCCTATAGATTGAATAATCACCTAGACTATGTTTATGCCTCCTATAAATTGAATAATGACCTAGACTATGTTTATGCGTCCTATAAATTGAATAATCACCTAGACTATGTTTATGTCCCAGACTGAATAATCACCTAAACTATGTGTATGCCTCAGATAGACTGAATAATCACCTAGACTATGTTTATGCCTTAGATAGATTGAATAATCACCTAGACTATGTTTATGTCCCAGATAGATTGAATAATCACCTAGACTATGTTAATGCCTCAGAATGATTGAATAATCACCTAGACTATGTTTATGCCTCAGATAGACTGATTATTCACTTAGACTATGTTTATGCCTCACTCAGATAGACTGATTATTCACTTAGACTATGTTTATGCCTCAGACAGATTGAATAATCACCTAGACTATGTTTAATGCCTCAGATAAATTGAATAATTACCTAGACTATGTTTATGCCTCACCATGTACTGGCCAAAGAATCAGCACATCAATGAACAATAAATAACTGACAACGCATCGTGTTTTTCCTGTCGTAAATGTTTTACCTGTCGAGTTGACTGCCATTGCACTGGTGAGAAGTCTGCAAGCGACTGCAGCCAAACTGAATGTAAACAGTCACTGCACATTCTATTGCAATTTTTTTTCTTTCTGTTCCACAGTACTACTTTTTGTAACTACTTAGATCCAAATGCTAATTAGTTGATTAGTCAGTTAGTTGCGTATGCTTTACAGGATGTTGCAGAACCAACATTAGAATTGTTTGGCTGTTGTGGTTGTTTTCTTGGCAAATTTACGTCCAATGATTTGCCACTGCTTTCTGGACAGTCAGCTTTTCAATACCACTGTCGAAACTAATGCAAGGCGCAAGGCCCTCAGCTGGGATTGAACCCGGCACCCTGGAATTGCAAAGTGCATTCACAACGCTTAAGCCACAGACGCAGACTAAATGCAGATTACAGATATTAATAAACTCTACACACAGAATGAGTCAACGCAACTAAAATGTTTGTTACTGAAAGAGTTAAATAGAATTATTAACATTTCTTGCAGTGATACTGATTAATTTAGTTCTGAGATATTTAGGGTGTTACAGATATAATTTACCAAACAAATCATTTTAAAATCCACCCCCCCCCCCCCCTCCCCTTCCACCTTTATTTTTCAATATATATTTACCCAGTGATCAGGTATATCACTGGTAAAAATCTTGCAAAGCGATTTCCTTAGTATTATACCAAAACTGATATTTTACTGGTTTTACAAACTGGCGATCTGGAAAAGTTGCTTCTTTCTGTGCAAGTGAGTCTGCTTGCTAGCACTAAAGATCTACCTTACAGCTCATATCTCATAATATTTGTTTCAGTCCAAAAAATATTATTTCCATTTCAATGTATATATGTAATAAAAAAAAAATGATAATGAAATCATCTAGAACATAGAAACCTGTAAGAAACATGCAGACAAGAAGAAAATCACCCTTAAGAAACACAGAGACAGCAATTAGGTTTTAATAAAACAAGACCAAAGTTTAAAAGCAGACACACAACCAGAACTTTCCGCTGGAGTTTACATCTCATTGATTGCTAAAAAATCTATTTTTTTAAAAACCAGACAGTTAATAAAAAATACTCAAACAAACATGACGACAATGAAGAATCAAACCTGAATTGGATGCCTACATAAAACACGTTGTCCAACTTGAGGTGCGGGTTCTGAGGCGTCTTGTAGAAGGTCCACAAGAGCTGTGCCTGTCACAATGAATACATAACCAGAATGTGATGTTTAATTTCACAGTGTAATGTAGATTGACAGCCTCTGTAGTCTTCTTTTTCTTCTTCATGTTCACTATAAACGTCAGCGGAAGGTTCTGGTTGTTCATCCACTTCTGGACTTTAGTCTTGTTCCAGAATTTGAGTTTTGCATGCACATCTGTTTTACAGGCTTATTTATAAGGAGACTGCTGGTTCCTCAACTCTAAGACAGATGCACTTTTACGACCTGCTTGTTAGTCAGTGTCTGTGGCTTAGTCGTTGCAAAACACTTCGTAATGCCGGGGTGCCAGGTTCGATCCCAGCTGCAGGCCTCGCGCCTTGGGTTGGTTTCGACGGTGGTATTAAGAAGCTGATCGTCCAGAAAACAATGGAAAACTACTGGACGTAAATTTGCTTAGAAAAACCACAACAGCCAAAAAAAATGCTGGGGTTGGTTCTGCAACGTTCTGTAAAGGATACGCAACTAACTTTTTGTTAGGGAGCCATTCATTCTATTCATCTTTTCACTAAAATAAGATCCTGAAACCCACATAGAGAATAATAATAAGTTATACTGCCTCCTTTTCTTAGTCTACTTTTATTCCTCACTGGAGCAAAGGCCATAAGCCAACTCCCATCGAGCCATCCTACTGCCACTGAGCCATCCTACTGCCACCGAGCCATCCTACTGCCACCGAGCCATCCTACTGCCAGCAAGCCATCCTACTCACAATGAGCCATCCTACTCCCACCGAGCCATCCTACTTACACCGTGCCATCCTATCTTTTGTCATCTCCTGCAGCTTCCTCCATATCCTCTCTATTCCATTTATTTGTCTCAAATTCTCTTCACTGAGTTGTTGTCGTATTTCTGTTACGCTCTGGGTTCCAGTGAAAGGAATTTATAGTTATACTATTATCAGGTTTTCTAAATGACTGTTTTATCCAGAACCAGTCTCTTTTTCTCATCTTGATTTACTGGAATTTGTAGTTCCCTCCCTAAGCTGCACATTAGAAATTCTGCCATACCATTAGTACACTTTTAATCTGTGCAGGAGTAATCATACCATACAATGCACCCAACCAAAGCAAGTTATTATTCGATGCCTTTGAACAGGACACAATTGATTTCACAGCCACATGTACACAAAATTCAAAATCGGCAAATCAGCCATGTGCACATGTGAACAGGCAGAGACAACAGATCGTGTCCTGCAAGTCTGTCCCAAATACAACAGATCAAGGCAAAACTTTTGGCCAAGGGAATCATCAGTGCAAGCCAAACTTTTCGTGTCAATGGTTGAATTACAAAAGACGCTGAAGTTCACACTAGAGACAACACTGCAGATATACATAATCTATTTTAGCTAGTTAGTTAGTTAGTCGACAGATTATCCTCATTGCACATCAAACCACTCAGTCAATAAGTGCTCGGATCCCTTCCTCAATAAATCCCGCAGCCTGTCGCGGCTAACGACACCAGTTCTGTGTTGGTTTATTCTTCTTCTTTGGCTACCCGAGTAGTGTTCTTGTTTGCAAACCCTCTCAAAAAAAGTAATGAAGCATGCCAAAAATAGCAATAAAGCCTGCCAAAAATAGCAATGAACCTTGTCAAAAATAGTAATGAAGCATGCCAAAAATAGCAATGAACCTTGTCAAAAATAGTAATGAAGCGTGCCAAAAATAGCAATGAACCTTGTCAAAAATAGTAATGAAGCGTGCCAAAAATAGCAATGAACTCTGTCAAACAATAACAATGAAGCCTGCCAAAAATAGCAATAAAGCCTGTCAAAAATAGCAATAAAGCCTGCCAAAAATAGCAATGAACCTTGTCAAAAATAGTAATGAAGAGTGCCAAAAATAGCATTGAAGCCTGCCAAAAATAGCAGTGAAGCCTGCCAAAAAATTGTAATGAAGCCTGCCACAAATAACAAATTGTGCATACTGCATGCTAATTTCTCTAGATGATGGTTGACAATCAGCATCAAATTTTGCACACACTGGGTGTAGAACTCACCACCTGTTCCTCCACTTCCACTGGTCTGCATACAAGAACTTCTAATGACAAGGTTCTCAATATATCAGCCTGGCAAGTAATGCACTAGTGAGTACAGGAAGCAGCACTGACAGATCGGATTTCATCCATGCTTTACGGACTAGGCTAGTGTAAAATAAAGATTCAGATGTTAACATGACTGCATGACCTGAGAGTAAAGCTCGGCGAAGAAGCATGTCTATGCCGTCTTTGAGGCAATGACAGAAGAAACTACAACCAAACTGTGATGGGAACAATCAATGCTCTCAAGGAGGGAGGACGAGATTATGATTCAGGAGATGACGTTGGATGTTGAATCGGCAACTCTCAAAAGACTACAAGAACTTCAGGTCAAAACAGGTGTCGCCAAACACAAACACTGTACAGGTAGCCAAAGAAGAATAGTAAACCAACACAGAACTTGTGTTATCAGTCACCACATGCTGGGGGATATACTGAAGATGGGATCCGAGCCTATGGACTTTTTGATGTACAATGAGGATAATCTGTCAATTAACTAGCTAAACACACAAATATATATATATATATATATATGTAAAATCACTTACCGTCAGCTCCGTACAACCGATACACTTTCTTCCTGCCAGGTATAGTCACCTTCTCCACATCTTCACTGAGTTTGATCCTCGCCTTTGTGTTGATCTCTACCAGCTGTCAGGGGAAGCACAAGAAAGAAATGAAATACCAGTTGAACATTTAACAGTGATGCAATGCAGGTGGTAATATAACTCTCAGCCAAGGCAGAAATTATATGTTCTTCGGATATCAACACCTGTACAAGCTCAAAAAGTACAGTGAGGAAAGGAGCCTAAATGGGGACTTAAGCAACTGGGTGACGTGGCAGAGAGAGCTTTGAGCTGGCCATGGACACAATGGAACAACATGGTAGATTGGTCTCGGTAGACTGGTCTGAGTCCCTAGTGGAAAAGAACTGTTGCTTAAACTGTCTGATTAAAGCTTGCCCGTGCAACCCCTGCTAATAAAGTCTGTCCAGTCAATGTCTACCAGATGGACCAACGGCCCATTTGTCACTCTGGCTCATGTAGGTAGGCAGTTAAAGCACTAGTGATGATCAGCATAACCTCAGTACTGGTTGCGATTACGATATCTCTTGTTATCTGATCAGCAGAGCAGAAGTCTGAGGTCTGGGAGTTATGAAACAGATTGGCCAGCTCAGTGAAAAATATCAGAGGAGGTAAAGGGACTTAAACATTTGTTGACAGGGGACTCCTACTGGGGATTGGTAGGCTCCCGCTGTGCAAGCTCCCATTGTGGAGTCCTCCCACTGGGTCCAGAAACCCATAAGGGGAAATGTTGGCAGTGTAATTTAAACAATTATGACAGAGTCTACAAAAGAACTGGCATAAACTGGCCTAGGGTCTATAATCTATCGGCAGAGGTAAGACAGGGGACAAAAACTGCATTGATGACTTTTATTTTTGTTGACATTCTTAAAAGTATTTATAATACATATTTGAACAATAAAAAGACATGATTTAAAAAAAGTTAGAGTAATCTACAGTGCCATGCATGCTGCAAGGGACAACTAAGAAGGGTTGGGGTGAGACTAACTAACGTATCTGACAGAAAACGCTGGAAGTATAATCCAAGCAGCCCTGGACTCATCTACAAAGGACTTGAAGTTCAGCTAAGAACCGACATCGCAACACTCAGGATATTCCCATAATCGCTTCATCCTCTTCAGTAGCTAAAAGTTCCAATTCTGACAATGCCAGCAGCTGTTTCATTATATGTCTGTCTTACCTTTCCTCTAAGTTTAGTGTCACTCCTAGCTGTACCAGTCTTTCCAGACCATAATTATCTATCTGTGCCTTCGCACTGTTCACTTGCTCCCAAAGGGCCGTGACTACATCTAGATTGCCATGCATAAATACACCACCCTTTGGTGGTGTAATCAGCCCATCGGTCTGCCTGTTCCTTTCCCAACTGCACACCCTGGAGCATTTAAAGTCTATGGTTAAGCACCAGCAAGGAGAGCAAAATTTGAATTTTGAGAGCATGCATCTAGACTCTCGTGACATACGTTTGTGAGTCGTGGATTATCTCCCAGTTCTTAAGAAAGAGAACAGGGGCTTTTGAGCTGAAATACTATAGAAAGATTCTCAGAATATCGTGGACAAAGAAGATGAGAAACACTGACATCCTGAAAGATCTGAACATCAAGGAAGATTGGCTAATAAACAGCATCCTGTCTCGGAAGCTGAGAAGATATTTTGGTAATTTTATGCGCCACGACGGACTGGAAAAAATAATAGCAGAAAGGAGGGGCAGGGGCCAATCAACACGAAGATGGGCATTGGATATAAGTAACTCCTTGAGTATGAAAGTAGGCGGGAGAGCTTGCGAGAGACCAATTTTCTTTTAGGCATACTGTGATGACAGCGATGTTGTGCAAAGGACCTGCTACATGATAATGACACCCTGGAGAAAAAAAGGACTCAATATGAGGTGGCTAAGTTCTATGATCAAACTGAGAGAAAAAAGACAGAAGAATATTGTGGGACTTGATTTAACATCCTGACATCAATAAACACTAAAATATCTATGTCCTACCAACCTTGAACACACAGCCTAGGGCTGGCTGCTTCTGACACGTCACAAGATGTGTCCCTATGCCATAACAGTTGATTGTGTGACCCTGCAAAACACAACACATAAAATTACACGAAGAAGCAAACCTATACTTTCACAACTGTTGTTGTCCCAGCTGTCTTACAGCAGTGGTTCTCAACTTTCCTAATGTTGTGACTCTTTACAGGGTTCATAGCCAAATTTACCAATCAATTTCAAGGCTTTCCAAGGTCTTTTTCAAGGTCTCCTTAGTTTTTTTCAAGGTTGTCTCGGTGTAATACTGAAACAAGATTTTTGCCTTGTTCAAGGGTGTAATGAGCACACAAGGTACTTCATTTGTGCCACATGTGTTGGTATACCAGCACAGATATCATCATCATGTAGCATTTCCTTTGTCCTGACAAAAAAACCTCGGTCTCTCACCAGCTCTCCCGCCTCATGTACTTTTTTATACTCAAGGAGTCACTTATATCCTGTGCCCATCTTCGTGTTGGTCGGCCCCTGAGCTTGATATAGTGTTTGAAATTTTTTTTTAGGGCTTGGTGGTAGAGGGCAGCAAACTGAAGTCCTGTCTGTTCTGGACCTGGTACCTGAGAGGGTTAGGGGAGAGAGAGAGAGAGTCATGAAGAGAGAGGAAGACACATGCTGAGGTAGGCTGGGAGAGACAGTGTAAAGATGGACAGATGAAGGTAGAGAAAAGAAGGAAAAGAAGTCTGGGGAAGGAGGAAAAAATGAGAGGGAGGGATGGAGACATGATGAGGAAAAGTGGGGAAGGGACAGCGAAAGACAGAGAGGAAGACAAATACAGAAAGAGGGAATGCAGATACAGAGATGGGCAGATGAAAAGAGAAGGAAAAAGGGAACGAAACAGAGATATGGAAGGAGGAAAATATGACAAAGAGTTGAAAGAAGGAAGACAGAGGGAGAGAGAACGGACAGGGTGAGAAGCAGATGCAAGCAGAGAGAGATGTAGACATAAAGGAGAGAGAGACAAAGGGACAGCACAGAGAGGCAAGCAGACAGAGGGAGAGAACCAAAGAAAGAGAAAAAAGGCAGAGCAGGAGAATGGGAGGGAGGTATACAAAGAGGAAGTGATGAAGGGAGGCAAACAGACATAAAGCAAGAGAGAGAGAGAGAGAGAGAGAGAGAGAGAGAGAGAGAGAGAGAGAGAGAGGTGGGTATGGAAGGCAGTGACAAACACAGATTAAGAGAGAGGGGCAGGAAGGGGGACAAGATACATCAAAGAAAAAAAAAACAGCCACCTACTCCCCCCCCCCCCCCCCCCTCACACAATTTCAAGTGTAGTACCACTAGGAAAAGATAGTTATGGGGCAAAAAAAAATATGTAGATGAACCAGTAAAAAAATGGGGGGGGGGGGGGAGAGAGAATGAGAGAGGAGAGCGGGTAAGGAAATCTAGAGAAAATGAAAAGACAGGATGGAGAGGAGACAAAGAAGAGATGGGACAGGAGAAAGGGCAAGGAAAGGAAGAGAGGAAGAATGGAGAGAGAAAGGAGAATAGTAGAAGTTCAAAGGAAAGAGAAGGGGTGAGAGAAGAAAGGTAAGACGTGGGGGTGGGGGGGGGGGTGTAAGAACAATGAGTGCCAAAAATTGAATTAGGAAATCTCCAAGTGAGGCCACTTTTCCGGTTCCTACCCTCTCCCAATGTGAATGTGGCCGTGGTCCAAAAACAACAGTGCTAACCCCTACTGCCCCTTGCTTGTCCTATATGTGTGTGACAACAATAATTCAATTTCTTACACTTAAGGCTGGTGACCTGAGAGCCAAGGTCATTTTATGAAGAAAAAAAAAGTCCAGGGGATCCCAACCCACCACTGGTGGAAAATAGAGAAGTTTACCCACACACATAAATAGGTAGGACACATAAATAGGTCAGGGCAGCAGTGGACTTCGTTTTATTTCTGGTTTTCCAATTACAGAAAGGAGGGGAGAGAGGAGGTGGTGGAAAGTGGTGTAGAAGGCTGAGGTGGTAAGGGTGAGACAGAGGAGGTGAGAGAATAAAGTTTAAGAAAATAAAGTGGGGATGAGACAGGGAGAGAAAGAAGGGAGTAAGAAATAAGATGAGATATAGAGGGAAGAAGGTAGCAGGAAGGGGTGCACTCCCTCCCCTAGGTGTCATCAATGTGGGAGGAGAAAAGGGGGGGGGGAGGTGACGGCAAATGTGTTTTTAAAAGTACACATATATTTAATGTGTAGGAGGGGGGAATGGTGGACATGAAATGTTCTGCACTGGGCAACACATAACCTACACCAACTAAAGGTATGGAGAAAGAAAGAGAGAGAGAGAGAGGGGGGGAGGGAGTGAGGGAGAGTGGCAAATACAAAGAGAAAGAGAGAGAGAGGAAAGCAGTGACACAGACAGGCAGAGAGGAACAGGTAGGACAAAATGTGAGGGGGCGGGAAGGGAGATGGACAGAGATTAAGGCCGCTAGGAAAACAAACACATCAAAAGAAAATATCCACCATGTTCACACAGAATGCCCCCCCCCCCCCCCATACAACTTCCTGTGTACTTGAGTTGCTAGGAAGAGTTATGGAGCCGCACATTTACTAAACATTTAAACAAGAAATAAAATAGGAAAAAGGGGGAGGGGGGACAGGAAATGAGAGAGTAAAAGGAAAGATAGAGAGAAAGAGAAGATCAGAAGGGAGGGTTAGAGACAATGCAGGAGACGGGAAGGAAGGAGCAATAAGTAGAAGAGTGAAAGAGGGAGGGAAGAGAGAGAGAGAGGGGTGAGACAACAGAAGAGGGAATCTCGGGGAATTACAATATTGATCGCCAAACACACTGTAAAGATAAATCCAGGCCAAAAATAGAACTGGGAAATCCAGCTGCAGTCACTTTGCTTAGCCCCAATGCCATCTCTAATTAATAGAGAAGGCTGTGCTTAGCCCCCACCACGGTGACTATATTTATAAATACAACTGAACCGAGCCCCACCATCTCCCAATGTAATCCTTTCTAGAAACCACGGCCATAAACGATTTATACTGTTCACTCGCTAGAAACAAAGGCACACACACTCACGCGAGACGGAATCTGCTACTTCCCGCCCCATGCCACACTGCTGCTGTCTGCATGTATTCATGATCTGCAACACAGCCCGCCCTCCCCTGGCCTTTAACAAGCCATTTCGGCTGAAAATAGCCAATAATCAGCTGCCCTCACACCTGAAACGACCATACAACGAAAGTAGCCAAAAACTAGCCAAATGGCCAAAAAAGCCAAATGGCTCCCCCAAAATTGCCTGTGCTGAAAAACACAGGATTTCCGACGATTTCATTGCCGCAGTCAAAATTCACGGCTTTTCAAGGTCGGAATGTCTTTTATAAGCTAAAAATCACGGTTCAAGGTCAACGAAAAAAATCCCGGTAATTTCCCGATTTCCCGGTCCACTACGAACCCTGCTCTTTAATACAGCTCCTCATGGTGGCCGGCGTGATGCTGACTCTATCATCCACCAAGCGCTGATTAGTCTATAAAATATAGGTCAAGCCTTTTATGACCAATACGCATAAAGGCGTAGAAAAGTGTCCTTTACTTTTACTTTTTTGCGGTGTACGTGGCTTAGGGTTGCGAGTCCGACTCGTAATTCCAATGTACCGCGATCAAAACCCACTGCTGGCTGCATTGATTTTTATCATGGTATTGGTCGTCGCAGGTCAACCGAGCCTTAAATGGGTACCAGTATGGCTGTCCTGGGAAAGTAATGATGGCCGGCGTAATGCGGACCATATTACCCACCTAGTGCTGATTGGTCTGTAAAAATATGGGTGCTCTTTCCATATGATCGATGCGCCTAAGGCGTAAAAAGGGATCTTTACTTCTTTACTTTACTTTTAATTTTCAACTGATTAAAGACTGCTTTCATTCTTCTAGTCCCAGTCTCAGCAGCTTGACAGATAGGGAACTAGGAATCCCTGCTGGACAAGCAACTGGCCTACCTCCTACATAAATTGGTGTTTTTAAAAAAAGGACAAAAGACATTTTTATAGTTAGTTTTTAATAGCTATTGAAGTGAAATGGTTGGGGAATTTTGGAAGAATGTCTGATGACATAGAAGTAAAAACTATACACAAGGGAGATGAATGGTCGTAGACCACTAGGCAGACCAATAACAAGATGGAGAGATAATGTCCAGACAGACCTGCAAACACTTGGTGTCACCAACTGGAAAGAGCAGGTCAACCAGAGAGATGGATGGAGGCAGGTGATATCTGCAGAAATGAACCTCAAGGGCTCGGAATGCTGAAGAAGAAAAAGAAGAGCCATTTTGGGCTGGGTCGACCTGAGAGCAAAGGTTAAAAAAAAAATTCCTTCCAGATCAAAAATCTCTCACCCCTCTTGTTTGGTACAGATTTAAACCCAAGATAGGAAGGCGAGCATGCAACCACAAGGTAACTATGGCTCCCCACAAACAAAACACTGCACATTTATGTCCTGGAATATTTTGCTGAATCTCATCAGGTACATTGCTAGCGAGTTTACATCCCCCCCCCCCCCCCCCCCCCCAAAAAAAAAAAAAGTCGGGAGGCGTGAATCGTCATTGCACACAGTTATAAACCATAAGTGCTCTGCCACTAGTATGGACGGCTGATAAGAAACTATCCGCCATTGTCACCATCCACTCGCAACTCCGTAGCCACAGCGACGTTTCTCCATTTACCCCAGAGTGTTAATTCTGGTACCCATTTCCTAGCGGCTGGGTGAACCTCGGAAATCACCTGGTTTCGGACACCGGCCGTGGGCTGCAGCGAGTCGCAGCTGGATTTGAAAGTGAGCCTCCTATCAACTGCGCTAACGTGGCCCTAGCTTACATCAAAATATTGTCTACTTATGGACTTCAGTCTTATTTTCAGAACTTGAGTTTTGCATGCATATCTGTTTTACAGATCTGCTTTTCTGTATGCAGACTGCTGGTTAACTGCCTCTCAGACAGATATTCTCCAACTACAGAAGACAAATTCTGAATTAGTTACCTGTTATGACATACTTGATAGTGAGACAGTCGATCTATTCTTTTGCTTTCCCAAAATGGGTCCTTGGAACCCACATGGTTAAACATACAAATATGAATGCTATCAACTGAAATACACAAAGAGCTTTGTACAGAAACACAAACAGTCCCACCTGCTGGTTAAGCGAATGTATTGTGTCTTCATTAATATCATTGCTGGCTACAATGGTCAGGTTTTCAAACCAAGGCAGGTCAAACCTATGGACGAACATGTAAAGTAAAATACATGTGATTTTGTTAGAAGTAATTCAAATAATTTAACAATTACCATTTAAAGTTTTTAAAAAGTTTTTTAAAAAAAACAAAAAACATGGTACATACCATATTTTTCAGCGTAGAATACAATGTTTTCCAAACATTTTTAAAGTTCTTATGTATGAAATGTGCTTAAAATGTTCATTTCTTAATTCTAAGCTAAAAAAAAAAGGTTGTCTTATTCACTGTGGAGTCTTATACACTGCGGTGTCTTATACACTGCAAAATAAGGTACTTTTGAGAGTGAATGTTGAAGAAATATTGGACTTCTTTGAGACCGGCCACTGCAAAAATTCTTGGCGGCATTTAAAGGAATAGGTCATGGACAGATGTGCTGGTGAAGGTCTCTTTTCAGATTAGCATATGGTGATAGACCCATAGTTTGTATAGACAAATCAGCACTTGATGGGCAATGTGGTCGGCATCACGTCAGTCACTTTCACTTCCTACAAACAATACTGGGTACTAGGACATTTTTTTCCTAGAAGAAAAAAAGGTGCCAGTACTCATCAGAAAGTGTCAATTACATCACTGCTGAAGAAGATGCTTAAATAAGGTGCCAGTGGTCTTACTTTTGCGTACTACCAGAAAAAAAGTCCTGGCTGGTACTCAATTAAAGTTGGGTTGACCTGGGAGCCAAGGCCATTTTATTTCAAAATCTGACTCAATACAGATTCAAACCCAAGACATTTAGGCTGGCAGGCAAGTGTATAGTCACTGCATTAGCATGACTTCCTTCCCTGCTCTATAATTACAGAGAAACATGAAGTTTAAACAAAGCATCAACATCATGGCTCACAGGTAGTAACCCATAAGCGCTCCGTTCTTCTTCTAACACATGCCTGAGCCCAAAGAAGTTCAGCTCAGTGCACAGGCTCTGTAGCACTTGCGAGGATCCTAAAATACTTAGGGTAGATTTTTAGCTCCAATTTTGCCCAGGCAGCGCTGTTTGGCTACTCTTTTCAATTTCCAACTGCCAAGGGATTTTTTTACGTGCACAACAATGCACACGGGTATCTGATCTCACTACCCAGAGACCAGGGGGAATTACTAGAGGTAAAAGTCCATGTTAAAAGTCCCAGCCGTTACTGAGGATTGAACCCGGAACCTCTAGCACTTGAGGCAGATACCATGCCTCGGGAACACGCAGCCGTCCTGGAGAAACGTGATCAAACACTGACTGTACTGGTGTCACTGAAGACACATAAATCATCAACTGCCTAAACTTCCCAATTATTTACTGTGCTGACTCCACCTCTATCCTTTCATGACCTTGTAGCTCACTGCGCACTGTGGGTGGTGATCATGCAAAACACAACAAGCCTCACAATGTCCTCAGAGACAACAGAACAGAATGAACACACTTCTACAACACGAGAATCCACTGTTCTCAAATGACATTAATTATCAATATAACAGCCATCCACTTCCCCCTGTCTCCAGTTCCTAAAAACGTCTGGAAATGTTCACAAGTCTTATCACAATTTGCACCCAAAGACTTATATTTCAATTACTCAAAAGCAGGAATATTCTGGTTCACTGCAAAATGTCCATCAAACTTGCTCTTCAGATGTGATTGCCACATGTATATGAAGCCGAACTGACAACTGCTGTCCAATCAAAACCCTTGAGTCTATTTTTCTCAGATTATTACCTTTTCTAAGCCCACACTTATCAGGTGTTCAGTTAATATTATTCCTCCTTACTTAATTCCTGTGTTTCTAATCTTTCTCACAGACCTGCTAAAAATCTGTGGAGCTTACTTTCGAATAACAGTTTGTGTCTGGGTTTTCCCTTTTAGTCTACCCATTAATTATGTAAACTGGGGTCCTCTGACGTCTAGTTGGAATCCTTAAAATTTACTCATTACCCTAACATAAAATGTGAAAAATACTCACTTAGCTGCCATGGTGATGAACTTTCCCTTGACGACCTTTGACAGATATGACAGGTCACCACTGTCCAATCGTATGCCCTGTGCTTGGTAACCCAATTCATTCAGTGCCATGGCTACAGTGCAGAAGTTTGGAAGGCCGCTCCTAAATGATTTCATTCACAGAAATGAACACATGAAAATATTAATTTTAAATATGAAATATGAATAACAGGTGGTAAATGGGATTGGCATGCTACAGAACAATATGGTCCTGAGAAACATTTGGAGAAATAAAGATACAATTTCAGTTGCTTAACCTTTTGGAGATTTTTTTTTAGAGTTTCGGTGCCAAAAAGATGGACCTTTCAGAAGGGGATTCTCATAGTTTATACACAAAAAATTATTAAAAATAAAGCGTTTAGTTAACATATACAAAACCATACATATTCGTGAAGCAAATTAAATGAATTAAGAGAATTTTCATGAACCAAACTGAAATCTCAACATTTATTCAAATTAACTATTAGGATTTGCATAATTTATGCAAGCAATTTTTTTTTAACTTGGGAACAAACATAGCTAACCTGAAGAATTTGGGTAAATTTTGTTATGTATGAAGCTTGATTAAGTCCTTACATCTGTATTTTGGGAAGTAAGACCCTTGGAGGCCCTTCAGACACGTGGGCACATGGTTCTAATTAGTTTCCTGCCTCCAGCTATGTTCCGGTTGTTTAAGCAACAGTTTTTTTTGGCCATTTTTGGGCACAGGTAATCCCAGAAAAATTTGATGTAAAATTATGGAACACATCAAACTTTCTCAAAAGCCATCAATGAACAGCTCACATGTGCAAGAAATGCTAGAAGCAGTCTGAGTGGCTGGTACGAAAACCTGCCAGCCAATATCAAGGCTTCTATCATATAGGGCTGACTAATCGGCTCAGCAGTCCTTTTGGCTACTTTGTGTTGAGCCGATATTTCGGCCACATCTTCTCTGAAGGGTTAAGCTGGCTAGAACCACCTGTGTCAGCATTTATAAGACAGAAAGGATGGTGCCATGTTGGGCACATTGTGACAAGCAAGCAGAGAATCACCAAACAGGCACTGAAATAAAAAACATCTGTCAACAACAAAAACATTCTAAGAGAAAACCTAAAAGGAACGTTGCTGAGAGAGGTTAAGGGTCCTGGAATTGTCCTGATATTACAGCTGTTTTCTATCGTAACACAATTTTCCTGATTTTATAGCTGCTTTCTATTGTGAACACAATTTTCCTGATATTATAGCTATTTTCTATTGTGAACACAATTTTCCTGATTTTATAGCTGCTTTCTATTGTGAACACAATTTTCCTGATTTTATAGCTGTTTTCTATTGTGAACACAATTTTCCTGATATTATAGCTGTTTTCTATTGTGAACACAATTTTCATGATTTTATAGCTGTTTTCTAATGTGAACACAATTTTCCTGATATTATAGCTGTTTTCTATTGTGAACACAATTTTCCTGATTTTATAGCTGTTTTCTATTTTGAACACAATTTTCCTGATATTATAGCTGTTTTCTATTGTGAACACAATTTTCCCGATTTTATGGGTTTTTTCTACTGCCAAATGACAATTTCCCTCATACTGTAATTAAAACCCACTAAAGGTGATTACAAATTCTGTTTTGGTGTATGCCTTTAAAGGAATGGCATCACAAAGCATTCTTTCTAAATCAGCAAACTTAGAACTGGTTCTGGCCGACATAGGGTATAAAAAAATCCATAGAGTACCCCAATATAACTGTTTCATGTGGTTGAATGCAGTTTTCTCAGATCTGCTCCTACTGGATTTGCAACTGAAAAGGGCCTCCTTGAATCATTGGATGTTAATCTTTCAGGAAGCAATCCCAGAAAGGGGAATTTTTTTTAAAGTAGTTATGAAAAGAAGTCTCGAAAGAAACTGACTTACAAAGAGAACTGATTATCCACACCAGAAAGAGACAATCAACATTTGTTGATCATAGAAAACTGGAGTATGTCGTGCAGTGGGAGAGCTGAAGGGGGAAAAAAGGCAGCTGCAGACCAAGAGACAAGACTCCAGACAGTCTGACTTTATGTCATGAAAGAAATTACAAAACAGTAAAAAAATATACATACCTGATAACATCATAAGTATCAATCAGTGCCAAAAATCCATCTGGGAATGCAAGTGCAAATGAGATAAATGCTGCCAGCTCCCCCTCCATTACTTGGTCCGGCAAGAAATCTACAACATGTGTTTAATCAACAATGACAAATAAAATGTTAAATTTAAGAGAAGATATGCAGTTATCTTTTCTTTCATTCTCCCCTTTATATAAATCTGTCACTCTCTCTGTCTGTCTTCTTACCTCACCTTTCTATTAATTCCTTTTGTACCTGTCTGCTTCTCCCTTCCTTGCTGCCTCAACTTCTTTTTTCCCTTACTTCATCACATATATATATATTTGTATCCATACCCTTCTCCTTTGCTTATCTCTCTCTGTCTCTTTCCTCTCCTGCCTCTTTCTCTCACTTCTTGTCTCTTTCCCTCTATCACCTCCACTCTTTCCTTTCCTTGCTGTTGAGTCATGCTGTTTCTCTCTCCCTAGTACTTCTTTATGTTCAACTCCTGTCTCTCTCCTCCGTGACTTCTCTCTGTGTCTCTCCTCCGTGACTTCTCTCTGTGTCTCTCCTCCGTGACTTCTCTCTGTGTCTCTCCTCCGTGACTTCTCTCTGTCTTTCCTCCGTGACTCCTCTGTCTCCTTACCTACTTCAGTTTTTCCCTTCCCCCCAACACAGCACCACACGCACCCAACCAAGCACACACACACACACATATATATATATATATATATATATATATATATATATATATATATAGGTTGTTCTGAACAAATATATCATTTATTGATTACTTACCTATTACAGATGGCAACTGCTGTTGGTATTTCAGACACAAACTCACAAAATCTTCCTCTCTAGAGCCATCAGCAGATACCAGTGTCTGAAAGCAAATGTATGATCTACGGTGCAAAGTCACAAGGACAAGCATAAAAAGCTAATTGCATGACAACAAAGGTAAACTAATGTTACAGAAGATCTGTCAAAACAAATAAGCAGATGAAACAAACCACAGTAACAGAGTGAATAATAAAATAGAAAGATATCAATTTCACTGAAAGGTCTGTTTGAGTTCAAAAGCTGTGAATTCTGGCAGAAAACCCTGGTTGTTTTGTCCTTTTGGAATTTGTGCCAGGACCTGAGTTTTGCATGTAGATCTGGTTTATTGGTTTAATTGTGTGCATTATGTTGTTTCTTGCCTCTTTCAATTTTGAGCTTCAATAGCAAATACTGAGCTGAGTGGTCTTGAGGTATGGCATCTGCCTCGATTGCTGAAGGTCCTGGGTTCAAACTCCTGTGAAAGCTGGCATTTTTTACACGGACTTCTGGTCTCTGGGATCGGATGCCCGTGTGTATTGTTGCGCATGTAGAAAATACCTTGGCATTTGGAAATCGAGAAAGAATAGCCTAACAGCGCTGCCCGGGCAAAATTTGTAGTAAAAAAACTTCCTAAAGTATTTCAGGATCCTCGCCGGTGCAAAAGAGTTTGTTCACTGCGCTGAGATTCTTCATACTCATGCTTGAGTTAGAAGTAGAACCGAGCACTTATGGATTACACCCATGTGATATGATGCTGATCCGCTGAGTAAACATCTTGTTAATTGTAAACAAAATATGCATCCTAAACTGACAGTCTTGAAGCTGATTAAAAAGCACATTCCCTAAACTGACTTTCAGTAAGTTAACACGTACACTAAAGGCCCAACACACAGCCTAAATATATTATTTACTGTTTGGTGACAACATAACATACATCTTTTCAACTCCACAAACTTTAAGCTGACAAAACAAAACACTTACCCTAAATCTGACATCCTCCAAATTAACAAAGCTAAACACTTATTCCTAACCTTCACAAGCTAAAACATTTACACACAAAAACATTTAGGCAACCTGAATGTCACACATCAGATTAAAAAGTTACAACTCAATCTTCCAGAGGTTTTCAACTGAACAAGCAATTGTCCTTAAAAAAATTCTTCCCATCCTTAAAAAGAAAAAAACTGGCACTAAACATTTATCCTTAAAATTCTATAAACTGACAAAACAAAATATCTACCCTAATCTTCACATTCTAATAAACTGACAAAACATACTGTAAATTCACATCCAACAACTGACAAACTAATACACTTACCCTAAACATGATATCTAACAAACTAACAAATTACATCCAAACAAATGAAAAAAACACTGACCCTAAACATGATATCTAACAAACTAACAAATTACATCCAAACAACTGACAAAACACTTACCCTAAACTTAACATCTTGTAGATTGATAAATGAAGTAATGAAAGCATGTGCGTGAGTCCCCCTAACAGGAATGCCAAACATCTTCCCAGCGAGAACATTACTGGTGCCATCAAACCCTGGTCACAAGAGATGAAAAATGGCAGTCAACACAGACAATCATTCATCAACACTGACCAGAAATTTATATCTTCTTCTTCTTCACATTCAGCGGTTGAAAACTCTTGTGGAAAGTTCTGGTTTTTTGTCCACTTCTGTTCCAGAACTTAAAGAGTTTTGCATGCACATTTGTTTTACTGATCTGTCTTATGTGTAAACAGACTGATGATGTAAACAGAAGATGGTAGAATTGACAGAGAAAAAGAAACCAGATGTTGAAAAACAAGTGCACTTACATACCATTATTAAGACATTCAAGCATAACTATGACTCCAAAGAGACAGATTATAAACAGCATATTCATTCCAACATTAAGCTACCAGTGCCAAACATAGACACTATCTAAAGCCTATATAGACAAAATCACCACCTGCGAGATGAGATGCCTGAGAAAAGCAGCCAACCTAACCATCTGAGATCGAGTGAATAATAAAACTATCAGGCAAATTGTGGGAACCACACCTTGTACTAGATTCATTGAGAAACAGCAGATAAACTGGTTTGGCCATCTCGTTAAAATGCAGCAAGATCAAATACCATCACAAGCACTACATCTCAGAAGATCAGCTGCAAGAGCAAGAGGACAGCCACGGAAAAACATGGATCGACAACATTAAAGTCTCTCTACGCATTCATGGCATAACAATAGCCAGTGGCAGCCAGCGTGCACTGGATCGCAAATTATTTCTCCCCTTGACGCTTAACGGCAGAAGTGGTTTATGATGATAATGATAACTGATGGTTCCTCGTCTCTCAGGCAGATGCACTCTGACTTCGAAGAAAGCAACCCTAACTGGTCGACTTTTACAACATACTTGTCAGTCGGGCAGTGGGTCTTTTTTTCTTGGTTTTTTTTAAATCAAAATATGCTTTACCATGTTTTACTTTCAGGTCATGCTATCGTATTCTTTGGTAAGCTGTCTTGTGCTGCACTTTTTAATGCCTGCACTGACAAGTCTGTGCTCCCTCCAGGCATTTGGGAGGAATTCTATGACAATGAAATACCCACAATTTGTGGAGGAAACGTAACAATCTTGTCCCTAATCCCACCCAATTCATTTGTCTTTTGTTGGTTACATCCTAATGTGCCTCTCAGCAGATCTGAAAAGTTGCAATGCTGGCCTCCCAAAACTTGGCCAGTTTCTGAGTTTTGAGAAAGAGAGGAAAGTTTCGCAACAGCCTTCAAAGAACTTGTACTCCCATGTGGGTTCAGGGCCCCCATTGTGGGGGAAACTAGAACAGACCTATTGCCTCCCCGACAAGCATGTTCTAAGAGTTGACTAATTTGGAGCTTCCTTTAAAGTTGAACTACCTCTGCCTGACAGGCAAGGAACCAAGAGTCTGCAGATAGGAATCAGTCAGATATGTAAAAAGAACATGCATGCAACACTCAGGTTATGGATCAAGACTAAAGTCCAGAGGTGGATGAACAACCAGAACTTTGTGCATTAAGTTTACATCTAAGAAACAGAAAGGAGGAGAAGAAGAACTGGTGATTCGATACCAGGTGGAAGGGAAAGCTCCCATAAAATCTCATACCAACGGATACAAGGCTCAAACAACCTTGCTTTGTTTTCAGTTGCACAGGCCAACATTTGTTGCTAAAATCCTGAGACAAACATCTGATTAGAGAGTTTTAAAATTAAATTTCAATAAAGCATGTTTTTCCCTACATTCTTTTAAACCCGTTACTCAAGATTGTCCAGGTGTCAGATTTTCACTTACTAGGTAATATTATAAAATGAGATGACCAACATTCTCATTGACATTGTTATTTTAGAGAAAAAAACTCTGGTATTTTTTTTAGGATCCTCCATATTTCCATTTTAAAAAGAAACAAACACACAAATGACACTTGTGGCTCCCTATGGAAAACAAAACTTCTACCATGGCTGTTGAACAGTTAGAGTTTTCCTAGCATAAAACCTCAACAAGAACCACACAACAGCACATCTCTCACCTCCGAGGTAACAGTATCTAGAAGCAGATAAACCTCCATCAGGTCCTTGGGCTCTACGTAAACCAAATTCTAGCAACACTGTGTTTGGTCCTGCTGCTATCCTAAATCGAGCTGCATTTGTGGCCACCAAGCTGACAAAGTCAAGTTATCAGATATTTAATGCCACTTTCATTGACTTTTTTGTGTGGGAACAAACAATTTTTTTTAAACTTGTTTTCTATCTGGTAACAATGCATATTTTCTAGATTAAATTACTATGAACATGACCTAACGGTGTAAAAACATTAGAATCTGGACAGTAGAGATAGTCTATTTTAGTTAGTTAGTTCTTAAAGTCCGTGCCATGTGGCGCTGGTAGTCATGTCTATCCACAACCTTCTGTCTCATGTACTTTTAATCAACTGTGACACAGATGACGCTCCATGCCATGTGGCGCTGGTAGTCATGTCTATCCACAACCTTCTGTCTCATGTACTTTTAATTAACTGTGACACAGATGACGCTCCATGCCAGGATGCCAAACTGTCCAGCCTCTTCTTTCCTAATCTCCCTCGGTCTCTTTACCTCCACCTTTACCACTGTCTTGATGTACTCAGGTTTTCTACTTCTTATGACATGAATAAAGAATGTTAATTGTCTCTTTCTGACATGGGCAATCAGTTCTCTTCGTGGATTAGTTTCTTTCAAGATATCTTCATTACTTTTTTTTTTTTTACATCTGTCCAGGGTATTCTGAACATTCATCTATAAAACAAGTCTAACATGCTTATATTATGTATATCAGGCTACGATTTATTTAGCTTTTGAATTTTCTCTTTCTCGTCTCAACTGACAAAAAGATACTGCATAGAATATGTTTAATTTTGTAAATTGCTACCTTTGCTTGAGCTGTTCTACATTTAACTCTTGTATATAGTTAGGCACTGAAATTTAAGCAATCATATAAAAGACTTCCAACAGCCAAGATTTAGGTTTTGAAAAACATAATGCTTCTCTTCTACCTATCAGCCAGCCACTGCAAACTGCTGGGTCACCCATACAATCTCAGACTGTCAGGAAATGTAATGTTCATCCAATAAACTTATGTGCTGTTTCTCTCTTATTAGCAGCTATCTGAAAAGTTTGACACCCTGAGATCAGAAGATCACCAACAAGACGTAAAGGTCTGACACCGTAAGACTAAAAAATCTCAGTGCTGATGGCGGACTAAAGGGCAAGCCCTGATAGTCCGTTCCACCTCTAGGGAAGTCTCATATAATTAGGGACCTGTAATGACCACACCAGCCCAGTGTCACCTGCAGTCCTGTGTGAATAAGGATTGTTATTATATAATCTCTTAAAAAAACTGAAATTACTGGAAGTAAACGAAGAACCCTGAATCCAGGACTGGTGAGAAAAGGGTCCTACTAAAAAAAATTTCATGTCTCTGATTGAAATCCTTATAACATAATAACAAACAGTAACAACAACTTCTTCTTTTGTCCAAATGCTTATGCCACAAAGCGCTGCAGACAGAAGTTATATGTAGTTTCCTGTCATTTGCTAGTAGCGTAGCTTGTGTTAATGTCATAATTTCTTTCTCCAGTGTCTCTTTCACTCCATCCACCCATCTCTTTCATGGTTGGCCTCTTGATTTGTAGACTGCAGTTTTCCTGTAGCATGCTCTAATTGCTGGCTGATTTTGTTCCATTCAGTCTAGATGATCAAACCTTTGATTCTTTGATGATCTATGAAATCATTTACCAGTAATGTGCCTGCTTTTTTCTTAGTTCTTCATAGGAGACTGTCTCTTCTTATCTTTTTTTTTTCCTATTGCATTTCTTATGCACCTCATCTCACATGTTGTTGTAACAACTACAAATGGAAAAGAACTTTCAAAAAGCTATGACCTTCAAACAAGATTATTCCTTTCACCGGAACAGATGACTTACCTTGCATAATTAACTAAATTCAGGAGAGGCGTCTCCAAGAGCTGAACCACAGCAAGTGGTCCAGAAACAGTCAGCAGGGGAATTTTAGGAAAGACAACTTCTCCTTCTGGGACTGCAGTCAGAGTGACGTCCCTTGCTGATATATTTTTCAAATAAATAAAAAATGCTGGGTCTGTGGTCTGTGGCATAGCAGTCTTCAAGTACTCAACATCTGGACAAAAACGATTTCATGCAATTTAAAGTGAAAGCAATAAATAAAAATAACAGTAAATTTCTAAAGCCATTAATGAAAACATCTATACATTGTATTTGTGATCCTTTGATGGTGTCTTCTATATGTTATGTTTTTTCAGGCTGAGAAAAAATGTCATCTAATTTACAGATAATAAGTCATCCCCATGTGGGAAGCAATTTTTTGTTATTCTGAAGCCCCCAACCTGGCTTTTGCCGGGTGCCCTAAACACAACTGGGCCATAAATATGGCCTAATGGTGGAAGGGGGTTTCCGGGACCTCTCCATGAGGGATCCTCATCCTCATGGTGGCGCACCTTGTTTCACCAAGTGTTTATTGCTTGTGTTATGTCCTAGTGGGGTACAACTTACCTACCTACCTAAAAGCTATCTGCCCAATTAACAGCCTTAGTGTTTAGGTTTGCATTTTAATGCCACAAATAATAACCAGTGGCGCTATAGAAGCATAACAGCCATAATGCTTGCATGGCAGCACAGTGGTTATTTGTTCAAATCTTCACCAAGGTGGATTGTTAATAATGATGTCGGTTTCTAAGCCTAATAACGGGTACCAGGAAATATCATGGGAAGTCAAGCTGACCATCATCACATTGACCACATCACCTACTGACTGCCAGTTGGTCAATCAAAATGTTTGTCTAGCATTTGATGGCCAAAAAAGGTTCTTTACTTTTCTACTTTCACTGAAGTTACTGCATTTTATCCTAGGAAAATGAAATGCAACCTAAAATGTCATGTTATGGGCAACTGAAAATGTCATGTTAATGGCAACTGAAATGTCATGTTATGGCGGGGCAGATTAGGCCCTGAGCCTTGGCTGGCAGGTGGTCTAGGAGGAAAGCTCCTTCATGAAGGACAGAGAAAACACTGCTTTTCTGAGCTAGCAGCTTCTGCAGCATGCTTTGTTCAAAACATACTGTTGTTACTTTTTCTTTGGAGCAAACAAGACAGGACAAGACAGGAATCATGATGCATTGGCAACACATGGTCTCTACATGGTGGCCCAGGCTTTGTGCTATGGAGAGGAGGCCCATGCCTTCACACAGAACACTATAACACTATCATCTGGAAAGACATAAAAGTGTCAACCAACCACAGTTATTACAAGAACCTTACCAACAAAGCCTGGGGGGGGGGGGGGGGGGGGGTGGTAAACAAGGGCAAGGTACTCTAGTGATTATTGACCAGAAGCAGCAGACAGACATAAAAATTCACACAGATAAATTCATATTGCCTATAACTTTCCATGGGTAAACATTTCTTCAAACTTCATTATCATGAAGTAGCAGTAAATAACAACCTTTTTATAATTTCATTAGGAAAACCAAATATTAATATAGTTAAAATAAGCTCTTTTATGACATGATAGAAACATTAATAGATGACAGCAAGAAATATAAAATCAATCAAGACACCTAAGAGCTATTTATTAGCTATATATGCTTTCTGTTTACTGCCCACCAAGAATTTACAATTTATTTAATCAGCTTTTTTTTCCTTCACTTTTATTACCCAACACGTCTCTTTTTTTTCTTCTGCCTTTTACTATCTCAATCGGCTAGACGCTCACCTCGGGCCCGAAGGTTGTAGGTTCAAATCCGCAACAAGCCTGATTTTTTTTTTTAAGAACCTTGGCTCCCACGTCTTACATGGGTATGAGGTAAAGTAATGGGAAATAAAGGTAGCCATCGTGATGTAGACCGCATCACCCACAAGTGGTGACTGGTCTAAAAAATATAGGTCTATCACAAAATGCATAATATACCAATGGCTCTAACTAACTCACATCAAACAAAAATTTTCTTCATTCAATAAATGAAAGGACTAATCACTTTTCAGTTATTGATTTAAATGCAGTGTCCGATCTTTGTTAGTGAAATACAAGTAGCTGTGATGTTTCTGTCACTTTAATGAAGGAATTAACAGACATTTGGGTCACCGAAAAGAACATACTTTCTTTGGGTCATTGAAATGAAAGTACTGATGGATCTTTTAGTCACTGAAACAAAAGTAAACTGGATGTTCTTGAGACTACAATGAAGGCACTAACAAATCTTTGGGATCACTGACAAGAAAATACTAATGAATCTTCTAGCAAGTAGGTAGGTAGCTGTACCCCACCAGGACATCACACAAGCGACAAACACCCGGTGACACAAAATGGCACCATGCGGATAAGGATCACTCGTGGAGAGGTCAAAGAAACCCCTTTCAGCCGTTATGGCCAAATCTATAACCTAGGCCACAAATATGGACCGGTTTTATTCAGGGCCCCCGGCAGATGCTAAGGTGGGGGCTTCAAATAACAAACATGGGGGACATGGGGACGACTTTTAACCTTATGATCTTCTAGTAACAGGGGAAAAAAGCACACTGGATAAAAGCACTAACAGATCTTTAGGTCACTTTAGGTGACTACAATGAAAGAACTAACATATCTTCGGATCACTGAAATGAAAATACTAATGAATCTCCTATTCGTTGAATATAAATACTAGTAAATGTTCTTTTGAATACTGTCTTCTTTTTTTTTAAACATTTACCGGCTGAAAATTCTAGTTGTTCCCCCACTTCTAAACTTTAGACTTGTTTGAGAACTTGAGTTTTGCATTCATATCCATTTTACAGATCTGGCTTATTTGAATGCAGACTGCTGGTTCATACCTCAGGCAGATGCTCTCCAGACAGCAAGGAAACCCTTATTTGTCAACTTCTATGACATGCTTTTTTTAGAGAGGCAGTGGGTCTATTCTTTTTTCCTCCACAGAATGGGGCCTCCTGAATCGATATGGGGATTTGACTACAATAAAAACACTAACAAATCTTTTTGTAAATGAAATGAAAGTATAAAGGATCTTCTTCTTCTTCGCGTTCACCAGTTGTAAACTTTGGCAGAAAGTTCTGGTTGTTTATTCACTTTTGGAAGGAAGTCCTGCTGCAGAACCTGAGTGTTGCGTCTGCATCTGTGTTGCGTCTGCATCTGTTTTACAGATCTAACTCATTTGTATGCAGACTGCTGGTTTCTTGCTTCTCAGGCAGATGCACTCCAACTTCGAAGGAAGCTCCCAATTAGTGGACTCTTACGACATGCTTTTGGGTAGGTATTTGGTCTATTTTTGTTTTTGCTATAATAGAGCCCCGGAACCCACAGGGACTAAAGGATCAAAGAACTGAAACACAAGCATTACCGGCTGTTCTTGTGACTACAATGCAAGCACTAAGAGATCATGAAATCACTCACCACTGTCCGAAAAATGAAAGCTCTGCATCAATTTAAGACACTCCTCAAGACCAGCAAAGATGGTAAACTCTCCGCTAAACGGGTTCTTGCGGAAGTACAGATCAAAGACAGAAGCATCATTCATTTTCTCGCTTTTCCAGTATGCATATGCCATGGTGATCTGATACAAGTCTGTTTGTAATTAGAGATTTAAACACATGTTATACTTATTTACATGGTATTACAATGTCACATTAAAGAAAAGGACTTTTTTCCATACAGGGCTAGACCTATCTTTTATAGACCAATCAGCACTTAGTGGGTGACGTGGTCAACATCATGTGGACTGCCTTTACTTCCCAGAAGTTTTTCTAATACTATTCAAGGCTGGGTTGACCTGGCAAACAAGGTCTTTTAAGCCTTACTTTTTTCAAAAGTTTGACTCCGTTTGGATTCGAACTTGCGATCTTCAGATCCGCAGGCAAGTGTTTAGCTGCTACACCACAGTGGCTCTTATCACAAATGAGTAGCTCAGGTTGAAACTAAAATTCTAGTGAATCAAGAGATTAAGGACAGATGCTGTCATTGGATAGGAAACACAACAAACAATTGGTTATGATGTTAAAAGAATGTAATTTGACTGGAATCTACAGGCCCAAAAAAATTAAGGCAGACCAAAAAACAAAAACAGAAGAAAATTAGAGACAAAGATGGGGAGGGACATGTCACAAGCAGCATGCCTTGGCAAAGAATGGGATGATCTGGCATGAGAGCCTAAGCACTACTGGCAGAAAAAGAGCAAAAGACAATATCAGTCCACAAAAGATACTTATCTACATCAAGCTTATCACCAGAAGGTGAAAATACACTGGTGTACTGCTACTTAAATTAGTGACATACAAAGGTAAACTCTGAAGTTCAGATTTAAATATCTGTTTTACAGATTTCCTAATCTTAGTATATATTCTGTAAAAAAAATATAGTTAATAAAGTGGCTTGTAGCAGTTTCAACTGCACGGCAAACAGATCACCTCCATAACTGTACCAGTAAAGCCCACACTCAATGCCTACACTGTCTCTTGTGAAAAAATGTGACAAAGCCTGATCAGACTGCAGCCCAACAACATATACACACACATTAAATACATAAGACAGGAGCCAGAAGTGCCAAGACAAACAGTGCGCCTCAAGAATTTGCTATTCATTGTCGATGGAAGCAGCAGTTACCATAAATCCGCAGGTGTACAGGAAAATACACACAGGACACTGCGAATTCTTGGTAACTGACCTCCAACCCTTTTATGAATATGTGGTTCTCAACAAAAGCTACTTACGGCCCAGCTGAACAGCATTCTATGTGAAATTCACAATTCAGTGTTATGGTATGTGCTCAACTCGGGGAAATGCAACAGTAAACCATGGTCAGAAGTAAAAAACACACCATAACTTTAACAGTCAGCCTACCTATCTGCCACAATGGACCATAAGCCCACTGTGTGCATGAGAAAAAGACTGAAATGTAGTAGGAAAAGAGAATGAGAGATGAGAATGAGAATGAATATAATGTATATTTCATCATATGTCATCAAAATGGATAAAGCCATTAGGCTGTCAAGTTATAGCTTCTCCTGTGTGCATCTTTAGATGGGAGCAAAGTAGCTAGTTTTTTGTCTGCTGGTCCGAAGGGCTTGGGTATAAATCCTAACCAGGCAGATTGGGAAAAGCTGACCTAGGCTCCTAAGTTGGCCAAGCCTAAGATAAGTGCCAGAAAATATCAACGGAAGTAAAGAGGCTGGTGTAATGTTGACAACATCACACGCCTGCTGGTCATTTTTTTTTTAAAGTCCAGTGTCCCATACCCGTTGCATTAACAGCATGAATGTTGAATTAAGAATCTACATCACAGCACTCAGGTACACTCCCATAAGTGCTCCATCACCATTTTCAGTAGCAAGCAAAGAGTTCCAATTCTGATGGCACCAGTAACCGTCTGATTGCATATCTGTCTATCGGCCAGATCACCTGGTAACTCCTCGCAGTGCCATTCTCCTCAAACAGTAATAATCTATCTGCACCTCTGGACTGTTCACTCGTTTCCAAAGGGATCTCACAATATCTAGCTTGTCGGACATCAGTTCACCACCAAGTGGTGCAGAGCCGTCTAGTCTATCTGCCTGCTCTTTTTCCAACACACCAGCACAACATGGAGAAGATATTCAAAGGATGCTAACTACCTGGGACCTCTAAATTGCCTGCCACTTTGCACGAAGCATGCCTGTCTTCAGCTTTCTCAACAGGCTCTACGAGTCAGTTACAACTGCGGCATGAATAAGATGCTTCACTATATTTTTTTTTAACTCTTTACACCAGTGGTCTCAAACCTTTCTCAGCCCCCCCTCCAACCTTAAATATATGACAAGATCCCCCCACCCTTAAGTATATGACAAGACCCCACGCCCCTCCCTCCCTCAACATAACAAACAATTAATAAAAATGAATGAATGTGTTTTTGATTTATAATTAAATTCATGGTTTCTCAAATCAATTAAGATTTTTCATGGTAGATGTACAAACTGCCCACAAAAACAAAAATGTCCTTGGCTTTTTGTTTGATAAATTGTTTGAAACTTTCTTTATTTATAATTCAACTGGAGGAAATTTTTTTAGTATAAATGACTATTACAAGAGATAAAAACTAATTCAAAGTTGATGTCCATCGTGGAACTTTTGCCCTCCCCTCCCCCCACCCTCCCCTCTCTTTTTAAGGGGGTGTATCCCCCGGTTAGAGACTCCTTGCTTTACACAGACGCCAACCTTAATATATTTAAATAAAACAGCAGTTAACTTAAAGATGTTATTTCCATACACCCTGCTCTTAAATAAATAAATAAATAAAGTGGGTGCAGGCCAGAATAATTTTCTCCATTCTGCATCTGTCAGACACTCAGGCAGCAAATGTTCAGCCATCATTTTACTGATACCACGTTCACAAGTATATCCTATGCTGAGTAGCTGCCAAATTTAAAATTAAACCAACCACCATGACCTGTCAGGATTAACCTGGCCTGGTTGTCTAAATAATAAGGAACACAGACTTTTACTGCAATGTAAGAAATATGCTATTCAACCAGGTAAAGGTAGTCTCGTCTACCCTTGAAAGTAAAAAATATGACCTTGTGGTTAAATATGAGCATACACAGACCTTCTATCCTTGGATGTAGTTAATATGACCTTGTGGTTAAATATGAGCATACACAGACCTTCTACTCTTGAATGTAGTAAATATGACCTAGTGGTTAAACATAAACAGACCTTCTACCCTTGGATGCAGTAAATATGACCTTGTGGTTCAGCATAAACACATACAAACTTTCTGCGCTTAGATGTATTAAATATGACTTTGTGGCTAAGCACAAGCAACTACTAACCTTTTACCCTAGATGTAGTAAATATGACCTGTGTTTAAGCATACGCATGTACTTCAATTCTACCCTCAGAAGCAGTAAACATGGCCTTGTGGTTAAGCATAAGCACACACTAAACTTCTACCCTAGATGTAGTAAATATGACCTGTGTTTAAGCATACGCATGTACTTCAATTCTACCCTCAGAAGCAGTAAACATGGCCTTGTGGTTAAGCATAAGCACACACTAAACTTCTACCCTAGATGTAGTAAATATGACCTGTGTTTAAGCATACGCATGTACTTCAATTCTACCCTCAGAAGCAGTAAACATGGCCTTGTGGTTAAGCATAAGCACACACTAAACTTCTACCCTAGATGTAGTAAATATGACCTGTGTTTAAGCATACGCATGTACTTCAATTCTACCCTCAGAAGCAGTAAACATGGCCTTGTGGTTAAGCATAAGCACACACTAAACTTCTACCCTAGATGTAGTAAATATAACCTTGTGGCTAACCATAAGCCTGCATTAACATTCTACCCTTGGGTGAAGCAAATATGACCTTGTGGTTGTACAAAATTTAGCATAAACACAAAGTATCCTCATCTAATCTTTGAAGAAGCAAATACGACCATGTGGTTAAGTATATACATTATTCTCTTCTACCTGTGGATAAAGTTAATTTGACCTTGTGGTTATGAGCATTTAGCATATTCACAAAATATCCCCTTATAGTCCTTTAAAACAAATATTGATTAAACATATTTAGCATAGACACCCTGTGGTGTGTTGGGAAATGAGCAGGCAGACAGACTGGTGGGTTCTGCACCACTTAGTGTGAACTGATGTATGACAAGCTAGATGTTGAGGAAGCTCTTTGGGAGAGAGTGAGCAGTGCGGTGGCTCATTATGACCTGAAGAGAATGGCACTGCGGGGAGATACCTGCGAATTTGGCTGACATGCAACATTCAAGGGAAGGGTGAGATGGGTGTACAGTCAGACAGTTAATGGTACCATCAAAATTAGAACTCTTCGCTTGCTGCTGAAGATGGGGACGGAGCGCTCATGGGAGTGTCCCCAGGGGTAAGATGTTGATTCTTGATTTAACATTTAGATACCACACCTTTCAATCCCAGGATAAGATAGACATTAAACATAATTTTATGGATTTATAAATCTGACATATAAGCACAGTTGTCTTCTACCCCCTGGATAAAGTAAATTTGACCTTACAGTTTATATTAATTTTTAACGCACACCTTTTTATAAAAAACTTGAATGAAGTAGATTTGACCATCTGGTGTTGCACAAAATGAAAACACATACTGCCCTAAAAAAATTGTGTCAGGTAAATATGACCTTGTGAATCTACCTACAGGCAATACACACGCTCCGCTCTTTTTTCCTTGCATGAAGCTAATAGATCTTGAACATACAGTATATAAAGTCTATATTGTTATAATCTTCAATAGGATAAATCTGACCTTCTACTCTTGGATGATATAAATATGACCTTGTGGATCTAGCAAGCACAAGACAAACCACATAATCTTTTAACCTTGGATGGAGTAATTACGACCCTGAAAGTCTAAGCACAAAAACTCTATACTCTTCGATTTTGGGGTGAGATAAATATGACCTTGTGTGGATCAAGCTATAAGTTATTCTAACCTTAGATGAAGTAAATATGACCTTGTAAGTCTAAGCAAATAAACTTTTCTTTGGTTGGATGAGGTTATTATGACCTTGTGGATTAAGCATGTACAAGACAAACCATACGTACTTCTAATCTTGGATGGACTTAATATGACCTTGTGGGTCTAAGCATATAAACTATACTACACTTGGATGAGGTAAATATGACCTTGTGGATCAAGCATGTACAAAACAAGTATTAGCTCTTCTAACCATGGATGGACTAAGTGACCTTGTGGGTCTAAGTATAAAACAATACTCTTCTATCCTTGGATGAGGTAAATATGACCTTGTGGGTCAAGCATGTACAAGACAAGCTATAAGCTTTTCTAACCTTGGATGGAATAAATATTACCTCGTGTATCTAAGCATAAAACAAAACTCTTCTACCCTTGGATGAAGTTAATTATTAATATGACCTTGTGGATCAAGCATGAAAAAGACAAGCTATAAGCTCTTCTAACTTTGCATGGACTAAATCTGACTTTGTGGGCCTAAGCATAAAACAATACTCTTCTACTCTTGGATGAGGTAAATATGACCTTGTGGATCAAGCATGTACAAGACAAGCTATAAGCTCCTTTAACCTTGGATGGACTAAATATGACCTTGTTGGTTTAGCATGTACAAGACAAGCTATAAGCTTTTCTAACCTTGGATGGACTAAATATGACCTTGTTGGTTTAGCATGTACAAGACAAGCTATAAGCTCTTTTAACCTTGGATGGACTAAATATGACCTTGTTGGTTTAGCATGTACAAGACAAGCTATAAGCTTTTATAACCTTGGATGGACTAAATATGACCTTGTTGGTTTAGCATGTACAAGACAAGCTATAAGCTCTTCTAACTTTGCATGGACTAAATCTGACTTTGTGGGCCTAAGCATAAAACAATACTCTTCTACTCTTGGATGAGGTAAATATGACCTTGTGGATCAAGCATGTACAAGACAAGCTATAAGCTCCTTTAACCTTGGATGGACTAAATATGACCTTGTTGGTTTAGCATGTACAAGACAAGCTATAAGCTTTTCTAACCTTGGATGGACTAAATATGACCTTGTTGGTTTAGCATGTACAAGACAAGCTATAAGCTCTTTTAACCTTGGATGGACTAAATATGACCTTGTGGGTCTAAAAAAAAAACTATACTTTTCTACTCTTGGATAAGGTAAATATGACCTTGTTGGTTTAGCATGTACAAGACAAACTGCTCTTCTAACCTTGGATGAATGTAATATGACTTTGTGAATGCAAGTATATAAATATGGGGCATTTTTATTATACACACATTAGAAATAAGTGCCCAGTTTTCTCACAGGTCAAGATCGGCAGTATCCACTACTGCAGGTCGGTCTACTCTTTTCCCACAAAACAAACTACTCATAATTGTAACTAATTATGGTAATGATTGCATTGCTAGTTGCAAACGAGATGGTAACATATAAGTCAAGGCTTTCCATTACACTGAAATGAATACTAGGGTCTTAGTTAGTAGAGATAACGTATCGCAGACAGACGAGCGCAAAGTCGGTTACGTAATACTATAGTCGATAACCGTTAGAATAATTATCATGCGTAACTTCAGTTGCATCTAAGTAAGCCATGCGGGCTCGTCGCTAGGCTAAACTAAACCTCTGAAAATGCAACAACAAAAAAGAGAATGACCCGCACGAAAAAATAAAAAGCGAACACAAAGAAAAAAAGTATATTTAATTAAATATACCTGTGAGTAAAGCCTGAACGACACCATTACTGCCAGTCACCGAAGTTTTCAAGTGAAGGGGCTCGCCTTCTTTCATGGCTCCATGGTCCGACATGTTTGTTGCTGTAGGTTTGTTTGGCTGGTATTCTACAAAATCAGAATCTCTTCTTTTCGATTCTAGGAAACAAAACAAATTGTTTCACCCGCTACCATGACACTGGTTCTTAGAATATGTTTTTCGTGTAACGTTGTTTCGTTTTCAGTTTCTGTTTATATTATTTTCGTTCTCGTCTTTTATGCTTTAATACACTTTTTATTAATAATATGTTTTATGCGGGAACAGTTTTACTTACAAAAATGGTGTGATTTGATAATTTTAAAATGATAAGAACCATTGCTTAAAAAAAAATTACAGAAAATGATTTCACACATTCTTCTACTCTCTCTCTCTCTCTCTCTCTCTCTCTCTCTCTCTCTCTCTCTCTCTCTCTCTCTCTCTCTCTCCATCCCCCTCTCTCTCACTCCATCCCCCCCTCTCTCTCTCTCTCTCTCTCTCTCTCTCTCTCTCTCTCTCTCTCTCTCTCTCTCTCTCTCCCTTACCCTTTCACAACCATGTAAATAATTTTTCTTTTAAAGTTTGTGTTTATACAGTTCATGCTATTTCAAATATATTATATTTTTTGGTCACTCAGTACATTATTATTATTAATCACTTCAACAAGTCTGTGGAATCAAGAGACGACCGTGTAAGAAGTAGGGGCAAACTACTGAACGTAAAGTTGACTGGCGAAATGACAAACAGGCAAAAAAAGCTGGGGTTGGTTCTGCAACGTACTGTAAATTGGTTATCCAACTAACTTTTTTTTAAAACTAGTGTGTGAATGTTTGATGAATTTAGTATGAGACGAACAGACTGCACACTGCTGTGTTACAGTCACCCAGCAACTAATAATTATGTCCCAAAATGGGACTTTTTTCGGTCATAACCCAATATCTCCCCCCAAAAAGTTAGTAATCAACATATTTTCATAAATGAATCCGACGGTGGCCGATGCATTTTTGCTCCATTTGTAGACTAGATATAGTTTCGTCGCCCAGCTTCTGAGTTGAATGCATGGCGTGACCCTGTGAGCTGCGGATTGCATTTGGAATGTTTTTTCGACTGTGACCAACGTGTTGGTGTGAATTGTAGATTCAGAAGATGGCGCGATGCCTGTCGTGCAGTGTTGTGGTGTCCGTATGTGATTGAAATTGATCGCGTGGGCAACTGCTGATCTGTTGGCCACTTCTGCTACCATCAATGATGAACTGTAATTCTAATACTGTGATAAACATTATGTGTGTTTTTCGTTGGCACAGGGGCGGAGCAAAGATGGGGTGACCCGTTTGCTATGAAGCTGAAACTCAGACTACCAGATATTTTCATGAATAACATTCACAAAACATTTTGCATTACATTTAAACAATACTCACTCTTGGAGCAATCAACTTTCGTGTGTACAGTGCGTGTCTAATGTCTTAAGTCTGAAGAGAATAGCAGATGAATTCTGACAGGAGCTTTCCTGGGTGGATACAACGTCTGTCTCTAAATTATGCAGACCTGATGCTCGATTAACGGTGTGAATTGTGTAGGCTGATAACAAAATAAAAGAAAGCTTTAAATACTGCCCCATAATCTTGAGGGCGGGTCGGTTCTTCTTCCCGCTTGGGTGAAGTTGCCCTTGTATGTTTATAGATTTATTTCAGCTCACTCTTTCACCTCCAATGCAGGCGCGCTGACATAAAAAAAACATTAGGGGCCTTAGGTCTCCTTTCCCTTTATAGCCTAATTGTCTAGAAGCGGGGGACTTTTGCGGCTCAAGCCTTGTTTAAGTGCACAATAACAGTAATGATGACTATTACTACGTGCGGAAAGGCAAATAAATACAATTTTTAAAAAATCAAATGAAATGTATAAATACTCAAAAAGACAAGGTTTTTTTTAACTCCAAATTTTGCACAGGCAGCGCCGCTATGATACTCTTTTTGATTTCCAAATGCCAAGGAATTTTTTGCGTATACAGCAATACATACAGGCCTCCGATATTACTTCACAGATACCAGGGGACATTAGAAGTCCACGTGGGAAAATCCCAGCCTACACCGGGGCCTGAACCCAGGACCTCCAGCAATCGAGGCTGACGCCATGCCCCGAGACCACTCTGAGTCTGAATGTGTTGCATGTAATTTATTCAGTTAACTTTTTACCCATACCAGGGCTCTACTGGCAAATTTGGCCGGTAAGCTTGAATGCGTCGACTGCTTCGGCCGGCTTAGCGGGACTTAGTGGGAGTTATGTCCCCGTGGCCGCACTCAAAACAACGAGCGGAAAAAGTCACGAATCAAATGACATACTTACCTATCATCATAGGTAAGTATGTCATTTGTTTCTTGACTTTTTCCGCGACTTGTTTTGAGTTGTTTTGAGTTTGGCCAAGGGACATAACTCCCACTAAGCCCCGCTAAGCCGGCCGAAGCAGTCCACCTTACCGGCCAAATTTGCCAGTAGAGCCGGAATATGAATTCATATTCAAGGTGCCCCTATTATAAAATGTGGTCAAAACGCGGTAAACGCAATGGTTCGCAAATGTAACAAGATCTATCAGCCTCTCCAATATTGAATAGCTGAATGAACAGGCCTCAAATATGAAAACATGAGTCCGTAGCATCTGACTGACAGAGGTGGAGTGAATTGATGAGACAGCCAACTTTTAAATACCAAATTTCGTCCTTTTCAGGACGAATTTTTTTGTTATTTGAAGCCCCACTCTGGCTTTTGCCAGGGGCCGCAATATAGGCAGGTCATAAAAATGGCCAAATGTCTGAACGCGGTTTCTGGGACCTCTCCACGGTGATCCTCATCCACATGGTGGCACTTTGTGTCATCGGGTGTTTATCGCTTGTGTGATGTCCTAGTGGGGTAGAAAGTCACTCACTCACTCACAGCCAATGATGACCCAACGATATGCAGTTTTTTTTTTAGGACACGAATGATGACTGATGGTCGTTGAAAAAGTTTGTGTTTGCAGATGAAACTCCGCTTAGACCGGCCTCAAACCTGACTGTAAAAGGAGAAGCGTCTGACTGAACCTGAGTTGTTTCATGCCTCTATGGAAGTAGTGGGTAACAGTGAATCAGCCAGATGACCGGGGGACCGCAAGGAGCTTGCCAAGGCACAACAGGCCAATCACCTGTCTGTTTCAAACTATGATTGCAAGTAATTACAGAGGGAAAACCAAACGGATCTTATTGGCAACGAAGTGACTTTGGCTTAAGGACTACAATTTCGGAATATGGAACATAAGAGGCATTAACGCATTGGTTTTCAACCTGTGGGTTGCGACCCCTTTGTGGGGAGGGGGAGGGTCGAACGACCCTTTCACAATAGTTGCCTAAGACTATCGGAAAACACAAATTCACTGAAGTTATGAAGTAACAACGAACATAATTTTATGTTTGGGGTCACCACAACATAAGGAACTGTATTAAAGGGTCGCGGCATTACGAAGGTTGAGAACCACTGCATTAATGGGACGGAAGACGAGGAAATAGGGGAGATGCGAAAAGCACAATAAGGAATCTTGCTCTGACTGAAACCAAGAAAAAGATACAGGAAATCACAGATGACGATTCAAATATGCTGCTCTACAGTAGTGTCCCTACGACAGAGAGAGCCAAAAGGGATGTTAGCTGCATTGTGGCCAGCAATCAAATTAGTAACATAAAGTGATGTAAACTAATCTGGGAGCGAATTATGGTGCTAGATCTTAAAAAAGAACAGAAAAATTGTCAACATTGTTATTGTGTACGGACCAAATGAAAACATGCAAATAGAGGTTAAAGAAGAATTATTTGAACTGTTCCAAAAGACCATAGATGATTGTCACGATGAAATTATCCTCCTAGGAAATGATCACTCTAGATGGGGGGGGGGGGGGGCTGATCGGGAGATATGGTGAAGATGTTTTGAATGACAGTGGCAAGCGACTTCTCAGATTCTGTAGGGTACAGAGCCATGTCATTACAAACACAAAATTTCCCCACAAACGTATACACGAATACACAAGATGTGAACTTTCAAAGAATAAATAATCTATCATCGATTATACCACAGTAAAGACAAGTTCATTCAAGTCTGTGAGAGGAACAGAGATTGGAAGTGGATTGGAAGTGATCATTATCTGGTCACAATAAAGAGATCAGCTGAAAGAACTGCTCCAACAAGGCAAAACCTACAACCATACAAGAAACTAAGCAACTGAAAAGAGATGAGTATTAATTAAGGCGTACAAGCTAAGAGAGCCAAGATTAAGGCTAGGTACCAGGAACTTATAGTGAAAGCATCAGGAATTGAAGAAGAACCGTCAGAGGACACTAAAATGATGCAGATGTCAGAAGACGACATAACTCGCAGGAGAATTCAGCGGCAGCATCCAGAGTGGTCAAACTAAAGAGGATTGGCTACACATCTATTTACTATCGCTGCCAAAACCAAACAAAGACCTCTCCGAGATCAGCGGCTACAAAATTATTACAATGCAAAACACTGGGCAAACTTCTAGAGAAAATAGTAGCGCATAGACTCAGTGGTGACTTGGAAAGGACTGTCAGGTTACCGTCCACACTTTGATGATATAGTCGTAATAAAGAGACATGGCTCAATGGGGCAGTTTTTGCCCATGATGTCTATGAATATTTTCAGATAAAAGAAGAAACATGTGCTGCTGTATTAGATTTAGCAGATGCTTACAGCAGAGTACCCTTTGACTACCTGGTACAGATCTTCCTCCAACTTAAAATATCTCCATTCATCATTCGCTGGCTAGCTGTGGTACTGGTCCAGAAGATGGGTGGTACTTAGGTGTGGTTCGATAACCCTTTTTCCCAGATTACCTCAAGGTTCCCCCATGTCCCCAGTCTTCTTTAATGTGTATACGTTGCGAATAGCCAAGCAGCAATTGAATGGGTGTGACAGGACTCTCATTTGCTGATGACAATCTGGTATATCGACATGGAAGAAAGCGTCATAGATTGCCAGAACAATGCCGACCGAGCTTG